TGACAAAAATTTGATATAATTATATATCTCTAGAAGTTGAAAATATAAATGAGATATATGTTATAATTGATTAAAATGAGTTATATGTATAAATAGATAATGGTTTACATCTTGCATTATGTTACTGTATATAAGTGTTTGATAATTCATAAACAATGTGAGTAAAACATGATTGTATGTTCATAAGTATGAATAGGTTCATCTGCCTTTCACAGCATAAGCGAGTTCTCTACATAAATAATTCTTATCTAATATTCCCCATAATTATTAAAGTCAATTCTTGTTTAACATCAGTAAAATGCAATTTCCATTATTTTTATCTAAGATGTTAGTTTTCAGTTATCATCCATATTTGCAATGATGTTGTATTTCATGATTGTCTATAAATTGAAATTTGTATCATTGTATTATATATTTACTGATTATACATTCGCTCACTGTAACTTTGACAAAGAAGTTTATTAATAAATTGTGATTCAACAGTCTTTTAAGTTTGTGGATTTATTATTCCAGGAATAATCCTAAGCCGTCCTTAATAGACGCACTATCCCAGTGTTATATTAATATGATGCATTAATGGAACCAAATTGTCACCCTTTCGTTTTAGCCTTAGTTCTACATGTACATGTAATTGTGATCAATAAGTAAAACTTTCTTATTCATTTTATTTTTTTATACTATATACAGTAATTTTGTTGAAGTAGCATAGCTTTGACTAATTATATAAACCAGTATTTAAATACACCGGCTAATGTAGGTGGCTGAAATGATAATTCTAAAGAAACTAAGTTTAAATGAATATCCAATTGTGTTTGCATATTTCACAGGTTTAATATCCTTCTACTGACCTATCTGGAGTCGGTGTGTACAGATATTGGTGGACATACTTAATGTGAATTGATTGTGTATGTTTATATATTACCATGCTCTTCTCAAATATTGTAACCGCCGTCATCATGTTAAAGGCGACGAACATGTAATATTTATATGCTGAATAAAGAATTGATCGACATTAGATCTAAAATCGATATCTTTTTTTAACGCTGACAACTACCCGTTTACCAATTTGTTACTCAATGACTCGTTACTATGTACCATAATATGGAAGGGATTATCCGCCACTCTAATTAATATGAAGACATTCTTATTATTTTGAAGACATTGTTATTAATATGAAGACATTATTATTAATACGTTGTAATCATTATGCAAGATCGTTACTCGAGTTCTTATTGAAATATGCGAACATTTAATTTACACTTGTAAACATGCAAGCGATAATTAGATATTTAATTTGCTGGCTTTCAAATATTTTTCCTTTATTTGAATTTGCTTTCTAAAATTAATTTGACACACATATTTTTTTTTACAGTGTTTCAGTATTTATTTAACAAAAATCATGGTAATTTTAGTCCCATGCTGACATTGTGTATTATGTATTCGAAACAGCAGTTTGCATAGCACACTAAGAGTTTCGAAGTATAATTCAAAATTAATTAGGTTTTTGCGTTAGAATTGGCCCTTTACATGAATGCAAAAAAAGAATATAGACGTCTCAATTCCAATGTAAATTTAGAGTCTTTAAAAAGTGCAAGTAAAATGTACAAAAAAGAAATAAGTTTAAAGCTTCATAAATATAATAAAACTATTAATAATAAGTTCAGAAGTTTACGTCATTCAGACCCCAGAGCATATTGGTCTTTACTGAATAAATACTCGGGAGAAAGAAATAAAATTATGTCTAATATTAGTGCAGAGGATTTTTATGAACATTTCAGTAAATTGAATGAAAATAATGAGGGAGAGAATGTTGATTTTGACATAACCAATATTTCAGATTATAATTTTGAATTGAACTCCACTATAACTAACAGTGAAATATTGAATGCTATTAATGGTTTAAGTAATTATAATAAAGCTTGTTCTTTACATGACAATATATTGAATGAGTATATAAAGTACTCTAAAGATATTATGCTGCCTGTTCTAAATAAATTGTTTAATATAATTTTTGAACAGCATGTGTCCCAGAAGTCTGGTGCAAAGGAATTATTTTTCCTATTTATAAAAAAGGGTGATGTAAATAACCCAGACAACTACAGAGGAATCACTATTTTAAGTTGTTTAGGAAAATTATTCACAAGTATTCTCAATAACAGACTTAATACTTTTCTAGAAAATTCAGGATTGTTAAGTGAAGAGCAGGCTGGTTTTCGTAAAGATTATGGAACTGTAGATCATATATTTACTTTGAAACTGTTAGTTGATTTTTTATCTAAGTAAGAATAAGAATTTATATTGTGCATTTGTGGATTATAAAAAAAAGCTTTCGATTCTGTAAATAGAACTTTTTTATGGATGAAACTCTTAAAGCACACTGTAGATGGTAAAATGCTAAGCGTAATTTATAGTATTTACGACAAAGCTAAATCATGTGTAAAAAGCACTCGGGGTTTATCAACATATTTTACAAGTGCAACAGGTGTCCGTCAAGGTGAAAACCTATCACATATTCTTTTTTCTGTCTTCCTGAATGATCTTGTAGAACATATTTCAAATACGTATAATGGTTTAGATTTACTTTCGCAGTCTATTAAAAATGTACTAAGTGATGATATAGTAGAGGTTTACTTTAAATTGTTTTTACTGCTTTATGCTGATGATACTGTAATTTTTGCAGAATCTGCATCTGATTTTCAATTAGCACTAGATGCTATGTCTACTTATTGCGAGTTATGGAAACTTCAAGTAAATACAGCCAAAACTAAAGTGGTGATTTTTTCAAAAGGGAAATGTAGAAATACACATTCTTTTTACTTTAACAATGCCATACTTGATATTGTTGAGGATTTTAGCCACTAAGGTATTAAGATTATTTTTAATGGTAAGTTCAATAAAACTACTAAATACCTATGTGACCAAGCTAGAAAAGCTATGATTGCTGTACTTAAAAAATCCAGAACTCTTTGTCTTGATATAGATTTACAATTACAACTTTTGACTCCATGGTCACTCTAATTTTGTTATATGGTGTAAAAGTGTGGGGTGTAGGTAACATTGATATTGTAAAGCAATTTCAGTTGAAATATTTTAAACTCATAATGAATGTCAAAAAGTCCACTCCTAGTGTTATGGTATTTGGGGAGCTTGGTACTCTTCCAATTTGTTGTGTCATAAAATGTAGAGTCCTAAATTTTTGGTGCAAAATCATGTATTCAAAACCTGATAAGTATGTAATATTATGTACAAACTAATGTTTGAATTGGACCGTCAAAACGTATATCACTCCCCATGGATAGCTTATGTAAAAAAAAATCATTGCAAGAGCTTGGTTAACCAATCTGTGTTATCACCTTCTTTTTTTAAAAATATTGTCAAATCTAGAATTAAAGACCAATATGTTCAAATGTGGCATGAACAGGTTTTTAACTCTAGCAAATGTATCACTTACAGAATTTTTAAATCCTCATTTGAGTTAGAACCCTATTTTAAACTTTTACATAGAAATCTAGCCTTATCGCTGTGTAGGTTTAGATGTAGTAACCATAAACTCCCTATTGAAAAGGGTCGTTATATAAATTTGGATCATGATTTAAGATATTGCCGTCTCTGTCCAAATAATTCTTTATTAGGTGATGAGTTTCATTATATTTTTCAGTGTCCTTATTTTAACATTTATCGTAGTATAAACAAAAGAAAAATAAAAAGTATAAATTCACCGTGGCAGAGGGGTTTGCGCGCTCGCTTAGGAAGCAAGAGGTCTGGAGTTCAAATCCCAATGAAGGCAAGTCATTTTTTTTTCAAATTGTTTAAGTCAAATAAACATTGAATTGAATATCAGTGTTGCAATTAGTCTTATTACCAATTTCCTACAATTAAAACGCTGGAAAGCATTGGTGGCACTTTACAAAAACAAGTTGGTTTATAATCTCACAACTTCACCTTTCTGACATTCTGAGACCCAAACAAATTCAGCGCCTTCTGTGCTTTGATTTGATAACGTCAACACTGTTATGAAGACGATTTTGTTTAAATGAGTCAATGTTAAACAGCATTTTATACTGCGAAAGATGTTTCGATTGTTTTGATTAAATGTTGAACATTTTATTACAAATGAATTAACACATATTCGGTAGCATCCATACACTGAATACCTAATGTTGATTTTAATGTGTGTTTTTGAATTAAAATGAATTAATATATTTTAAGGGAAATCATACCAATTTTCAGAATGAAACAAGAAAAACGTGTATAAAAATAAAATTAACGTATAACAAAGATATAATTCAAAATACCTTTATAATTATAAAGATACGAAATACACTAAGTCTTGAAACTAACCAAAATCTAACATCAAATTCACTATCGCAAATGTAAAAACGGAAATTGGAATGTCATAAAGCATAATAGGTGAACTGGCGGATAATCCCTTCCATATACCCGTTTACTAATATTGTTATGTACCATTATCTACTTAAATCTGTCTACCTTCTTTGTATTGAAATTATTTGAATGACTATGAACTTATATAAAATTGTTAAATCAATTGTAGGTGAAAATCAATACTATAGGTACTATATTTACTAACCGATTAAAACCAATAATGTTAAGTTGTTATTTATATCATGTGTAAGTACATATATTGATATGTAATCAAAGAGGAATAAAACATTGTCAATAAGAAAATGTATAAACGGTATGTATTGGAAGTGGAAAAAATGGGGTACTCTTGCAGTCAACCATTACAACAAGGGAATAACACGTCAGGTTTGATATTACATTTTTTTTTCATCATACTTTATTTAGGAAATAGATCTTGATTTTGAGTTATATGTGTTATAATATAGAACAGAACAGAACAGAACAGAAACTTTATTTCTTGGTTTAAGCATAAAAAGCGCATCACCATATTACATATACAAATACAACATATAATACATAATTTGCACATGAAATGAACATATATGATTGAAAAATAATGGTTTATGTAAAGTGAGACTGTTTAATGAGTTAAGAAATTTAAAAAGCATAATTTATGAATACATTTATATACTACACAAGAATTTGTCTATCTTTACCTAACATTATCAATTTTAGCTACAATCCATTTTCTTTTAGGTTTGAGAAATTCGGTAATGCCTATCATTAGAATCCACAAAAAGGCAAACTCGCAGTTTTAATTGTGACAAATGAAGGGGAATAACTTATGTAACTTTACTTAACCAGTATTTTAACATTTACTTCCCCTTAATAATTCATGATCAAATTATTACGGTAATAGAATTCATTTCTGTATGAAAAATGAATACGTTTACTGATTTTGTACGTTTTTTTATATAAAGAAAAAAACACACAAAAAAAAAAAACCCTGACAAATAACCAAAACAAACAAAACTAGACTTAATTATAAAAATAAGTTTTGTCAAAACATTTTATCATGGTATTTATATTTTGTTATGTGTTGAAAAACAGATATATTTAATTTGAGAAGATACAAATATAAATAAATGAATAAAAAATATATGTATATATGTACAATTTTATATTCACATATAACTTACATGATGACTATACAAGTGAATATGATGAATATAGCGCGGTATGGAGTTTCAAATGCGTAGTAATATAATCACGAAGCCCGTAGGCCAGAGTGATTAATTACAAATATCCCAACTGATAAATGCAAGGAATTTATTTTGCTACAATATATTAAGTACACATGTATTTTTCCCCGGGATGGAAACTTATTATCCAATTTTATATGTACAAAAGAGTATCTCAACTAGAGGAAATGTCTATTTAAGAAAATTTCTATACCAAGAATTAATTCTACTTTTGCAATAGACAGAAAGTATTCCAAACTGCGATTCATCATATATTTCGCCTTTGATGATTTCTATCCAGCGCGGACACTGTATTCCAAGCCATCGGTAAACTGGGCGGCAGTACCAACAGAGAATTTTTTCGGTGTTTCAAAACGTTTGATTGACTTCAAATTTAAATCAATACTGTGTTCCTTGGTGGGTTCTACTGCCTCTAAATTTACGCCTTTGTCGGCATCAACTGTTACTTGCAAAGTTGTCGTTATTATAAAAGGTTGCAATATTTTAATGTTGTTACAGCCACTCCTGCGAGAAATAGAATTATCGCATGGTTTGGAACTTCAATGAGCATTTAAAAACTGTATTGATATTTAGCAGTACAGTTTTTTCATTGATTCATGTAGGAAAAAAACTCGACTGCTATATAGCGGTTGAGTTTTATATATCAATGTATTTTTTTCACAGAGGCTCCAATTGGGCAGTGGTAACGAACATTCCCAGTAGCAAAAAAAATGGAATCAATGAAATAAAATAAATAAATAAATACAATGAAAAATACCAACAAAGATAATTAATGAAATGAAATTTACTCCCATTTAATCAAAATCCGCTGAATAAATTATTTCCACTAAAAAAAGCCCCCTAGTCTTGAATCAATATTGGTAACAGCGAAAACAACTTGAAAAAACTGCCTTATCATAAATAGCTGTAATGTAGCTAACGATTTATTTATTTATTTATCTTATAAAAAAGAAAACATTATGCTATTGCGATAAAACAGTTATAGTATATGAAACTCGTTACTTACGAGGATATAACACTGGTTCGGCGACATCTCGGGATGTTTCTGCAAAAATTTGTCTCGGCCTTACGGCCTCGCCTTTTTTTTAGCAGAAACATCCGTTGATGTCGCCCCAGACAGTGTTATATCCTCGTAACTAACTCGTTTTATGTACTATAACTATTACATATAAACAATGAATTTGATTTCTTTGTTCTCTGAATTCGTAAATCTTATCACTGGTTTATTAAAAACATAGCTAACACGGACACGAACTGTCCAATTTTTTTATGCTCCCCGAAAAATTTCGGGGGAGCATATTGTCGCCGCATTGTCCGTCCGTCCGTCCGTCCATCTTACCGGGCGTACATTATATGGTCTATGAGCTTCATTCTGTCCATAATTTTGGTTAAAAAAAGAAGGAAATCCCATAAACCAACTGTTTTATATGGTAATTTTACTGGTTTATGGGGTAAAATGCCACAAAGATCAAAGAAAAAGCACATAAACCCAATTGTTGGCACGTCCGTCCGTCCGTCCGCTTTTCTTGTCCGGGACATAACTTTGAAACAACAAGAGGTATCAACATGAAACTTTGTAGATAGATAGATCTCTTTGAGTAGGTGTGCAGTGCACAAGCACCGTAACTATGCCTTGCCTAATTTTTGAATTATTCCCCTTTGTTTATTTTTACACTTTGAACTTTGTCCGGGACATAACTCTAAAAGTATAAGAGGTATCAACATGAAACTTTGTAGGTAGGTAAATCTCATTGAGTAGGTGTGCAGTGAACAAGATTCGTAACTCTGCCTTGCCTAATTTTTGAACTTTCCCCCTTTGTTTATCTTAACACTTTGAACATTGTCCGGGACATAACTCTAAATGTATAAGAGGTATCAACATGAAACTTTGTGGGTAAATAGATCTTATTGAGTAGGTGTGCAGTACATAAGAACCGTAACTCTGCCTTACCTAATTTTTGAATAAACTCCCTTTGTTTTTTTACACTTTGAACTTTGTCCAGGACATAACTCTAAAACTATAAGAGGTTTCAACATGAAACTTTGTAGGTAGAAAGATCTCAATGAGTAGGTGTGCAGTGCACAAGAACCGTAACTCTGTCTTGCCTAATTTTTTTAATTATTCCCCTTTGTTTATTCTTACACTTTGAACTTTGTCCGTGACATAACTCTAAAAGTATAAGAGGTATCAACATGAAACTTTGTAGGTAGATAGATCTCATTGTTTAGGTGTGCAGTACACAAGAACCGTAACTCTGCCTTGCCTAATTTTTTAATTATTCCCCTTTGTTTATTTTCACACTTTGAACTTTGTCCAGGACATAATTATTTACTTACATAAACATCATTATTTAATCGGTCTTATAACACCCAAAAGATACAGTTTGTAAATGTTTATTACAAATAAAATAAAAAGGTATTGCCCAGGTTAGCTATATTTAAAACTCCCGCGCTAAGTCGCGGTGGTGATTGGGATAATCCCATGATACTTTAACGGCAGCCATCTTACAATACGACAATGCCTGGCCCTCCTCGGACAGTTTCATCTGCCGAAAATATAAAATGGAATTAATACATGCAATTCAAAGTTTGTTTGCTACATAAAGATTATCGATTTACTTTTTGCAAACTTTCTCTCTGCCCTACTATGTTGATTTTTTTCATTGACTGAAACCATCACGTGATCAATACACGTGATCATTAATATTTTAAGCGGAAATATAACATTTTTATTTACAAATGACTTGATAAAACAATCCCGGAAGCATTTAAAATAATAAAAATTATTGCAAAATAATAAATGCATAAAAATTGTAAATGTGTGTATGACAACTCGAGATTCAACCTTGTGAATTTGGCGGCCACATATGTAATCCGAAAAATATAATAGACTCAACCAAAAAAGGGTTTGCTTCTCTGTCTATTCATGTAGTTGCACGACAATGATTTGCGAACTACATCTATTTTAAAAATAAAACTATGACCGCAAGCAGATGTCGTACAGAAAAATAAAGGACTTTGTTTCGGATTACATATGTGGCCGCCAAATTCACAGGGTTGAATCTCGATTTATATTATTTTTCAAATACATCATTTTTCTGTTAAAGTCTATGTAAATGTTTTGGCAAGGTGCATAGGTATATGGTATCCAATTTCCATGGTTCAATTTCCTTTGTTTCAAAGGTATTACGTTTGATTCTTCATGTCAGCTGATTTTTTCCAGTGTCAGTTTTGGCTATTGGTACTTTGAGAAACGGAACAGAACGAAAGGAAACAGAACGAGGGGCATAATATATGGGGAATTTAGAAATCAAATTTAAATTTTAGAAATCAATAAAATCATAATAGTTATTATATGAACTCTGTGTAATCATAGTCGAATTATTATAACTCTCAATAAGTCAAAATCGTCTTACTCAAAATTCCGCGTTAGTTTAACTCCGTTTAGGTCAAATTTTGACTTACTGAGACTACTGTTTATTCGAAAGGAAGGTTTGGTCCCGCAAATTAAAGTCCAACATATTTTTATCACAATTAGTCGAAGTGTGAAAACAACCGACTGATCAAAGGTCGGCGACATCAAGATGAGATGTTGTCACTCTGGTTCACACGTAATAATATAACTGTCGGTCATCTAAATAATTAAAACGTTGTAAAAGTGACTTTAATCGGTTTAAGGACTTAATTGTCTTAAACAGTTCTATAAGAAAATTGACTCATGCTTTACATCCCCTGACAATGCTTTATCAGACTGCATTACCACACCTGACAATGCTCTTTCAGACTGCATTGCCTCCCCTGACAAAGCTTTTTCAGACTGCATTACCTCCCCTGACAATGCTCTATCAGACTGCATTACATCCCCTGACAATGCTCTATCAGACTGCATTACCTCCCCTGACAATGCTCTTTCAGACTGCATTACCTCCCCTGAAAATGCACTATCAGACTGTATTACCTCCCCTGCCATTGCTCTATCAGACTGCATTACTTCCCCTGCTAATGGTCTATCAGACTGCATAACCTTCCCTAACAATGCTCTATCAGACTACATTACCTCCCCTGACATTGCTCTATCAGACTGCATTATCTCCCGTGACATTGCTCTATCAGACTGCATTACCTCCCCTGACAATGCTCTATCAGACTGCATTACCTCCCCTGACAATGCTCTATCAGACTGCATTACCTCCCCTGACAATGCTCTATCAGACTGCATTACCTCCTCTGACAATGCTCTATCAGACTGCATTACCTCCTCTGACAATGCTCTATCAGACTGCATTACCTCCCCTGACAATGCTCTATCAGACTGCATTACCTCCCCTGACAATGCTCTATCAGACTGCATTACCTCCCCTGACAATGCTCTATCAGACTGCATTACCTCCCCTGACAATGCTCTATCAGACTGCATTACCTCCTCTGACAATGCTCTATCAGACTGCATTACCACCTCTGACAATGCTCTATCAGACTGCATTACCTCCCCTGACAATGCTCTATCAGACTGCATTACCTTCCCCCGACAATGCTATATCAGACTTTATTACCTCCCCTGACATTGCTCAATCAGACTGCATTTTCTCTCCTGACAATGCTCTATCAGACTGCATTGCCTCCCCTGACAATGATCTATCAAACTTCATAACATTCCCGGACGATGCTTTATCAGACTGCATTACCTCCAATGACAATGATCTATCAGACTTCATTACATCCCCTGACAATGCTCTATCAGACTGCATTACCTCCCCCTACAAATGCTCTATCAGACTTCGTTACCTCCCCTGACAATACTCTTTCAGATTTCATTACCTCCCCTGACAATGCACTTTCAGACTGCATTACCTCCCCTGATAATGCTCTATCAGACTGCATTACCTCCCCTGACAATGCTCTATCATACTGCATTACCTCCCCCTGACAATGCTCTATGAGCCTGCATTACCTCCCCTGGCAGTGCTCAATCAGACTGCATTACATCCCCTGATAATACAGTATCAGACTGCATTACCTCTCCTGACAATGCTCTTCCAGACTTCATTACCACCCCTAACAATGCTTTTTCAGACTGCATTACCTCCCCTGACAATGCGCTATCAGACTGCATTACCCTCCCTGACAATGCTCAGTCAGACTTCATTACCTCACCTAAAAATGCTCTACCGGACTGCATTATCTTCCCTGACAATGCGCTATCAGACTGCATTATATCCCCTGACAATGCTCTATCAGACTGCATAACCTCCCCTGACAATGCTCTATCAGACTACATTATCTCTCCTGACAATGCTCTATCATACTGCATAACCTCCCCCGACAATGCTATATCAGACTTCATTACCTCCCATGACAATGCTTAATCAGACTGCATTTTCTCTCCTGACAATGCTCTATCAGACTTCATGACCTCCCCTGAGAATGCTCTATCAGACTGCATTACCACCTCTGACAATGCTTATTAGACTGCATTGCCTCCCCTGACAATGCTCTATCGGACTGCATTACCCCCCCTGACAGTGCTCTATCATACTTCGTTACCCCCTCTGACAATGCTCAATCAGACTGCATTATCACCTCTGACAATGCTCTATCATACTGCATTGCCTCCCCTGACAATGATCTATCAGACTTCATAACATTCCCTGACAATGCTCTATCAGACTGCATTACCTCCCATGACAATGATCTATCAGACCTCATTACATCCCCTGACAATGCTCTATCAGACTGCATTACCCCCCCCCCCTACAATGCTCTATCATACTTCGTTACCTCCTCTGAAATTGCTCTATCAGACTTCATTCCTACCCCTTATAAATGGCTAACCCACGCTGTCAGGCTCAAGAAATAAAGTTAACGTCACACAACTCATCGTGATAGGCCTTTTAGAGCGTTTTTTTTTTTATCTCTAGTTTAGTCAAGATGATAGCCTGAGGGAATGCAGTAAAGCTCACACTACCTATTTTAAAGGGTTTTATCGCAAGTAAACCCAAGGAAATGCTGTTAGCTCACGCAACCAACTGTCATAAGCCTTTTAGAGGGTTCTAATCGCAAGTAAACTCACAGATATAGCCTGAGGGAATGCAGTATAGGTAACACATTAGAGGGTTTACAAAAAAACACACGGGGTGGTAGTTATTGCAAATGTAAAAAAACTTAACACATCCCAGGGTGAAAGGCATTTTGAGGATTCTTATCACAAGTAAACCTACGGCAATAGAATCAAGGAATATAATAAAGCTCACAGGACCCGTGGTTATAGGCTTTTTAGAGGGTTCTTATCGCAAGTAAACCCACGATGATAGCCTTGAGGAATGCAGTAAACGTAACACAACCAACGATGATAGGCCTTTCAGAGTGTTCTTATCGTTTATGTTCCCTTATGGTGACAGCCTAAGAGAATGCAGTTTAGCTCACAAAACGTGCGGTGATAGGCCTTTAAGAGGATTTTTATCACAAGAAAACCCACGGTGACAGCCTGAGTGAATGCACAACACATGGTGATATGGTTTTTAGAGGGTTCTAATCGCTAGTGATCCCGCGTTGACAGCCTCAAGGAATAGAGTAAATGTCACACATCACATGGTTATAGATTATTCAAAAGTTTCTAATCGCAAGCTAACCAACGATGATAGCCAGTGGGAATGCAGTAAAAGTCACACACCCCACGATGATAGGCCTTTTAGATGATTCTTTTCGCAAGTAAACCCACGATGATAGCCTTGAGAAAAACAGTAAACGTAACACAACCCACGGTGATTGGCCATTCAGAGTGTTCTTATCGAAAATCTATTCACGATGATCTAAGGAAATGCAGTAAAGTTCACAATACATGCGGTGATAGGCCTTTAAGAGGATTTTTATCGCAAAAAAACACGGTGACAGCCTGAGGGAATGCACTTAAGCTCAAACAACACACGGTGATTGGGTTTTTACTGGATTCATATCGCTAGTGATCTCGCGTTGGTAGCCTAAAGGAATAGTGAAAATGTCACACATCCCGTGGTTTTACTCCATTCAAATGTTTCTAATCGCAAGTTAACCCACGATGATAGCCAGTTGGAATGGAGGAAAGGGGGGTTCTCCTGAGAGAATGCAATAAGCTCACATCACTCGAGACGGTAGGCATTTTAGAGCGTTCTAATCGCAAGTGAACCCTCAAGGAATGCAGTTACGGTCAAACAAAAAATCAAAGATCAACAAGGCAAAGCAACGTTCACAGAATGCAGCCCCCACACAATCCAGTCACACCATTAATGCTTCCGATGGATCACACTTTCTCCAGATTTTTTGCTGTCTCCTGTTTACCGGGCACAGATCTGTGCTTTTATAATATCCAAATAAGCACAAGTAAGTTAAGGGCAAAAGTTTAACATAAATTTAAGTCGAAAGAGGGGCAAAATTCTGTAAAAATGCTTAATAGAGTTACCTTTTCCTGTCTACAGATTGGGGTCATGATGGTTAACAAGTGTGCAAAGTGTCAAAGCCATATGTCAATGGACTTTGAAAATATTTGAGGTATTACAAAAACTTTAACGTAAATTCTAAGTCGAAAAAGGGGCATAATTCTCTCAAAATGCTTGATACAGTTACTTACTCCTGTCTACAGGTTGGGCCATGATGGTGAACAAGTGTGCAAAGTTTCGAAGCCATATGTCAGTGGAGTTTGAAAATATTTGAGGTATTACAAAAATTTTAACGTAAATCCTAAATTGAAAAAAGGACATAATTCTGTCAAAATGCTTGATACAAATACCTCCTCCTGTCTACAGGTTGGGGTCATGATGGTGAACAAGTCTGCAAAGTTTCAAAGCCATATGTCAATGGTCTTTGAAAATATTTGTGGTATTACAAAAAACTTTAACATAAGTGGTTACGCCGACGCTCGGGTGACTACAATACCTCTACTTATTCTTATCGAATAGTCGAGCAAAAAATGAGTATTTGATTCCTCTGAACTTACTTGTCCTTATTTGAATATGGCATAGGCACATGTATGTCTGTGCAGTGAAATAGTTAGTAGGAACAGTAAGAAATTCAGAATAACTCAATATGAAAACTTTAGCCAGCACTATTAAGTGTTGAGAATTAAGTACCGCTCAAGCCGGTGCTAGGAGGAGTGAGGGATGTTGCACTTTACATTATCCCTCATGTACAGACTCAATCAAACCGAGTCTGAAGTTCTCTTGTGGTTTTGTTGTGATTGATGCTTCCGAGAGATCACTTTGTTTCCAGATCTTTATACTTCACAACAGCAGGTGTCAAGAGCTGTGTTGCAGCTGTAAAAGTTGCCTCGTACTTCACTTCAGTGTTGTTATATTTTTATGGTCCGCCGGGATCATTGATGCCAGCACTAATCAATCGCAACTTTTCGGACACTTTCTGTCAATCTTCGGATAAGGCTTCTGACTATCAAACATTGTTTTTTTTAAATCATAATATCAACAAAATAGACAATATTTAAATAACATTCATTCGTTACTTACAAAGGTTACACACTCTGTATTTGTGCACATGAAAAGTGACGTTGTCGGACTAGTTTAAAACCTTTTAATATAATATTCATCATTATAGAGTTTTATTTCATTTTTCATTTTCAGAGCAAGCTGAGCAGAAGATAAAGGAAACGACGACACTATTGCAAAAGGTACGGAAATATATATAGGACACTTTGTGATTAGACTTATTACGTATTTGTATGAACATCAGATAATGTATTCGGTGGTAGAGGAAAATATCTACTATCACTCATCAAAACATTACAAGTTGCGGCGTGGCCGAGCGGTTTACTCATTGGACTAATAATTTAAGGATTCTGGTGGCGTGGTACCAAGCCCCGTCAGGGGCAGGCCTTTGTTTCCTAGAGCTAGAAACTTTACATTCATTGCTGAGTATTGATTGGTTCAAGGAACGGAGTCGAGAGTGATCAATAAGCTTATAGCTTCCAACACAATCGGACCAAAATAAATTGGTATAAACTAACATGACAAGGCCGTTACAAGTATTTCTCGATACATGCATGCTTACAATGACGTTACGCACAATGTAAGGTCTAATGATCGTGCCGTCAAAATGACTTGTTTTGACATTACGTTTAAAAGTCGAAATACAGAATATGGTCCGACTCTGGAGAAATTTTACATTGTATCATTCCTGTCAAGTACACGTTACAGCAGCGAATAAATATAAAACTTAGTATATAGTATAGATGCGTTAAAAAAGCAAATGCCCACAGAGTAACGAGATAATGAAATGCGCCAGAAGATTTATCAAAGTATTGCACACGATTTTTTTACGGCACTCATTTGTATAACATGGGACCATTTATTAAGCAAGCTCTATGTCAAAAGATATGTAATTTATTGTTTTTAATATTTAATTAGCAAAAAAACAATATTTTCATTTTGACCTGTTCATTCACATAAAATTTATGTTCCCTTACCTGACCAAATTATTTCTGACAAAAGATGTAACATAAACGTGATCGCTAATAAGGGTAAAAATTGCGTACAAGCACAAATATATTTCATGCCAAAATAAATCACGTTTCAGATTTTCTTTACTCCCCTGCGAATCGGTCGAATGTTTCACTATGTTCATTCTTGAAGTTATGGTCAATTAAGCAGGATAAGAGTAAAAATGGTTTGGGTTAATGTCTTCTGACCATATCTTCAAGAATGATTGGAGGAAACATGCGACCACATTTACGTTCCATCTTTGTCAGAAAACATTAACACAAAACATTTATACTCTTGTCGCGCTTAATCGCGACATACACATAACTTGAAACAACAAAAACACGAAACTACGATGGTGAAACAAGAAATAATATGTATAGCTTTCAACATCGTGGTTTCGTTATTTCGACTTTTCGCTATTGTATTTTTAACATTTCATCACCCAACCTTCAGCTTTTCACCATGGTATTTTCGTTCTTTCGCCTTTTCACCATTTTCATCAACGTGCTTTAAAATTGTCACCAGTGTACATTCGGCTTTTCACCATCGGGATTTAGTTTTATCGACTTTTCACCATCGTATTTTCGTGTTGCGTGTCGCGATGACCCTCACGGGACACCGTACTAAATAACTTGAATTGACTTGTCCGTCTTTGGGTCAGACCATTCATCATCTTTCGGGAAATTTTCATTGTACATGTATTGGGATTTATCTGATTGGGAAGAACTTTTTTAATTTTCAGAAGGCAGAAGCAAAAGTGTGTCCAGAAGATGTATTACAGGCAAAGGCTATTGTTGGTCGCATTGACATGGAATGTCCATCACAAGCGAAAATTGTCCGTATCTTTACCAGCAGTACATTTACAGGTCATTTCTGTCGCAGAACTTTCTTAAGATTTATGTACATGTACAAAAGAAATGATTACAAATAAATTGCTCAGTTGAGTGCAAAATTAATCTTTAAATTCACCACTTCGCTATGAAACATAAGTTGTTCTTCCGTTTTATAATTCAATAATTATAATATTCATTTCACCTCTTTTAATGGTGACACATATTTGCTTCCGTACTGTACATTTTTTTCGAAAACCTAACAGTGTATAATTGTCACAGTACAGGAGCTAAGATATGCCATTTGTCATATTAACGATATTAAATATCTTTGTATCAAGAAGTATATTTTGTAAAATTTGTTTTAGATACAAAACAAGAGAGAAACATGTTGATGAAGTTTGCTTACCCCAAACTAAAGGAGTATTGCCGGAAAATAGGTTACGAGTTTCAAGTGGTAGACATGAGGTGGGGGATCCGAGACGAGGCTACTGACGATCACATGACAACGGAACTTTGCCTCAAAGAGTTGAAACTGTGCCAGAAACTCTCAACCGGACCAAACTTTGTTGTAAGCCCTTTCATTTTTGATAAAATGAACAACAACAAGAAACACAAACAACAAAAATAAATAAATAAAAAAATGAATTAAAAATCATCAACAGCAACAAAAAAACAACACAAAACAAAACAACAACAACCACCAAACAAAAGACAAGAAACAAACAAACCCAAACAACAACAATATAAAAACTCAATTTCATTTTGTGCTGAAATTTATTTAAAAAAAAAACAACAGAAAAAATGGGAACAGACATTTGCAAAAGAGACGAGATTGTTAATAACATACAGATGCTATATGCAACTTGATCAATATGCACAATTTCTGTAACTATTGAAAGTTATAAAAATTAGTTGTACACCTCTGTCTTATGCATTCAAATAGATTGCTGATTATTTTCTGTCTCTTCTCTCCCACAAGTACGGATATACACCATTCCCAAGAGTGATAAAATACATCAGACAGTGTTTAAGCATATAAACATATCTATAACAATATATAAACATTATATAAATAAATTGACATAACATAAACATTATATGCATACATTGTTGCTTATTTTCAGTCTCTTCTCTCCCACAAGTACGGGTATACACCATTCCCAAGAGTGATAGAGTCTGGAGAATTTGAGAAAATATTTAATAATGTCGAGGATAAAGGAGCAAAAGATCTATTTCAAAAGTAAGTACATTTAGTAACTATGACGACTGAAACGAGGTCGATAGTGGTAGGTTTACATTGTAAAAAAGCATATGGAAGGTCAGTCGCTCAAAATATTAACAAATGTCCTTTATATTTACGTAACGTACAATGATTCATCTTACCTAATAAGCGTAACGTCAAAATGCTTTTGATGTCTGGAATGTAAAACATGCACCTGCAGGATCAGCGCTTAATTGGTAGACCACACACGTTTCGAATTCAGGTCTTAACCATTCGTTTTCTTTGGCGAGAAATACACTCGGTATGGTCTCACTTCAGCCTGGGTCTTACAAATATCTACTTCAATCTATAAAATAGACCCTGCTTCTGCCAGTTGTGAAAGGCGGATTATCCCGTTGTGCAATAATGTCGTGTCATAAATGAAAGGAAATACTTTAAAGAGGTTTTGATGGACGATTTTAGATGCTCGCGTGTTCGATTGATGTAAATTAGACTAAAAACGCTCTAAATGTTTTTTAAATGTTTTTTTTTTATAATTGTCATCAACAAATAGATGGTATAGGAAGGACGATAACTCTGTACCCCCAGCATATATACTGTTGTCCGTTAGCACACATATATCTGATTTTCTCAGCGAGGATGAGGGGAAGAAGAAGATGGCAAAGAATAAATGGTGGGAAGAGAGTCAAATCATGCAAGAAACCCTGTCAGAAACAGCCAAGAAAGTCTTTGATAAGGAAACTGCCCGACAATACATACAGTCTGGTAATTATAGAATTAAATCCTTATAAGGGAATTGAATGCTTCCAGTTAATCTCCGTTTCTGGTACATTTTTCTGTGAAATATCAAAGGATCTGCTTTCCACTCTAAACAAATGCAACTATTTATATTACAAAAATATATGTACACTGAATTTAGTTTCAATATCATTTACTCTAGCTCGATTGTAAAGCAAAATAAATCTATAAAATGCAAAATCCCTGGAAACAAAAACGACAAAATTACATGAAAATTGTAGACTCACCTGTTTCATGAGTGATAATGGAAAATTGCATCATCCTTCACGACCCCCCTAGCACCGGCTTCTGTGGTGTTCAGTCGGAATATTATGTTGCTTTCTGAATTTTGCCAGTGCTAATATCATTATATAAAAAACATGGTCATTATCCAAGAGGGGCTCGAACGTACCTTCCAAAGATTAATATACAAATACGTTAACCACTAGATATCATTTTCCAAATGCTTTTAAAAATGTCCTCGAAATATCATCAAATGATGTTCAATTTCAAAATTTGTATACTTTATTTCCTTGTTATGCCAAAGTTTTGATTAGAAAGCACTCACGGAAATATATTAATATATTATTTGACCTTTGTTCGTTTTATGCAGACGCATATAGGTATAAGTTCATTTTATACAATTATTAATCCAGATATGTCGAAATAATCAATAAGTTCGACTTAAAATTTATTATTGTAGTAACGGAAACGGAGACAGAAGAGGGGCTTAAACCCAATATGGCGAAAGATCATTTTCTCTGGCTGAATAGAAATATCGAAGACATTGAGAAACAAGAAAGCAGCTATGCTCTGTCAAGATATATAGGTACAATAGACTTTAGTGCAAACTGTAAAAGCTTATACGTAGAGTAAATTTCTTTGCAAGATATATATCTGTACAAACTTTTCAAGATATATAGGTACAGTAAACATATGTGCAATCTGCCAAAATATAGGTACAGTATACTTCTGTGTAATCTGTCAAGATAAATAGGTACAGTAAATTTATGTGATATCTGTCAAGATATATACATACAGTATATTTATTGCAATCTGTCAATATATATAGGCCCAGTACACTTTTGTGCAATCTGTCAAGGTATATAGGTACTGTTTACCTCTGTTCAATCTGTCAAGATATATAGTTACAGTAAACTTATGTGTAATTTGTCAAGATATATAGGTACAGTATACTTCTGTGCAATCTGTCAAGATATATAGGTACAGTATACTTCTGTGCAATCTGTCAAGATATATAGGTACAGTATACTTCTGTGCAATATGTCAAGATATATAGGTACAGTATACTTCTGTGCAATCTGTCAAGATATATAGGTACAGTATACTTCTGTGCAATCTGTCAAGATATATAGGTACAGTATACTGCTGTGTAATATGTCAAGATATATACGTACAGTATACTTCTGTGTAATCTGTCAAGATATATAGGTACAGTAAACTTCTATGCAATATGTCAAGATATATACGTACAGTTCACTTCTGTGCACTCTGTCAAGATATATAGGTACCGTACACCTCTGTGCACTCTGTCAAGATACATGTATATAGGTACAGTTCACTTCTGTGCAATCTGTCAAGATATATAGGTACAGTAAACTTCTGTGCACTCTGTCAAGATATATAGGTACCGTATACTTCTGTGCAATCTGTCAAGATATATAGGTACAGTTCACTTTTGTGCAATCTGTCAAGATATATAGGTACATTTTACTTATGTGCAAGCTGTAAAGATATATAGATACAGTATACTTTTGTGCAATCCGTCAAGATATACAGGTATAGTATACCTCTTTACAATTTGTCAAGATATATAGGTACAGTATACCTCTATACAATCTGTCAAGATATATAGGTTCAGTATACCTCTATACAATTTGTCAAGATATATAGGTTTAGGATACCTCTATATAATTTGTCAAGATATATAGGTACAAATTTACATAGTACTCATAGTAACTTGTGGTTGGTAATTCTTGTGCAGTTATTTCTTTTACATACTAGTATTAGAGACGATTTTTAAAATTTGGTACCGCCAAGCGCCTTTTGTAACAGAATATAAAACCACTAAATTCTATAAAATAGTAGTTTTTTAAATAAAAAGGTCATTGTATGTTGTTTAAATTTATACTAATTCTATAAGACTCGTACATAGCTGTAAAACCTATATTAGACGAGGCGTAGAATTCTGTATTGTACTCAACAATGTATAGTTACCTCATAGTATTCTAGACCAAACATGCTTTTCCTTTCTTTCTTAAACAGGTTAAATTGAAGAGTGCCACTGTTAATAATGATGAGTGCCCAAGGTTAAAGTAGAAAGAGTGTCACTGGCACTATTGAATAGTGTTGAGTGTCACTGGTAATATTGATAAGTGCATCTGGAATTAAGGTGTGGTGCCACTGACAATAATGATGAGTGCCACGGTAATAGTGATGAGTATACCTGGTTAAAGTGATGAGTGTCACTGGTAAAATTGTTGAGTGTCACTGACAAATATGATGAGTGTCACAGGCTAAAGTGAAGAGTGTCACAGGTTATAGTGAAGAGTGCAACTGCCAATAATAATGAGTGCTCTTTTTAGGTGATAGTGCATTTTCTTTTTATGGGCAGCATGACGGACGAACGGAAAAAGCCAAATAATAATCCTCTCAATGTAACGGTGCATACTCAATGAATGAATCAATTAATAAATAAATCAATCAATCAATCAACCAATAAATATTATAATTTTATTATATTTTCAGAATGTATCGGTCCAGAAGAAAAGGTCCAAAGAGCCAGGCAAATGTTGAAGGAATTAAAGGAGGATAAATTGAAAAAAATTCTAGACCCTACAAAAATTCTTAATTACAGCGTCAAATGGAGTGCTACTGGTAATGCAAAAATGATCGGTCAAAGCAATACTAATTAAAGTAGTCAATATTTATAAGTCCGAATTTCGCTTTGAAAATTTAATAGACCCTTATTTTAACAAAATTATCATTAGGTTCTTTCTAGACATGTTGACAGTATTTTGATTTCAAGCCGATTTGCTCTGATATCTGGGACTAGAAAGAACAACTAATTAGAAAAATAGCAAACCCATTGACCTCTAATATTCTAGCTGGATGATTTTATCACAAGAAATGACCCAAACTCCCTTGTTGGATTCGACCCTTAAAGATAATGCATGAGTGGTTAATTAAAGAAAATGCGTAAGTGGTGCATTAAAGTAAATAAAAGAAAATACATAAGTGATGCATTAAAGTAAATAAAAGACAACGCGTAAATGGTTCATCAATAAAATGCGTGAGTGGTTAAATAATGAAAATGAAAGAAAATGCGTAAATGGTGCGTTAAAGAAAATGCGTAAGTGGTTCACTTCCCTGTCATGATCACTTGTAAGTTTAGGAATGATATTTTCAGACAACATTGGACAATATCATCCGTATTTTGCAGCCGATATTTTACCAAACATGGGGCTAATCAAGGAACAGACATCGGCCTTCTTCGGGTCCGATAATAGTATCAGTTGCTTTAACCAAATAAAATGAATACAATATAGATCCGATGAAATATAACAAATGATATCGTCTCCAAAAGTAAAATGACATACATGAACATTTAATTGTAATACTTAACGCTTATCTGACATATGTTTGCAGTTCGGATCGGAATTTCCGTCCCGAGGGGACCCGCCTAATGGACGGTTACGAGGCTTGCCAAGTTACCACCCATGGGCGGGTTGCCGAGGGACGGATATTCCGATCCGAACCGCAAACGTAAGCTAAATATTTTTTCTTGCATAATATACCATATTCCATTATATTTTAAACTCTTTACCTAACTTAAACAATTAACCATGGAAATTTTGTCATTTCACCCGTAACTCACGTTATTTTCTTTCAACAGCGTATGAAATTACAACTCCATTCATAACGGTAAAATTACGTCATCCTAAGCTTGCTATTGTACAGCACGCGACTCATCTGGCACTCAGGCATAAATCAGAGCGGGTCCTGTGGTGTTGTGGATTATTATTGTTTATCACACAGTGCTCAGTTCCAACGTGTACAATACTCACCGGACAATATTCAAATACAATAATGCACATTACTCAATTAGTACTTAACGCTCACTCACAACGCCATTATTTTAATCATAAATGTTATTACCAAAGTTGTCGTCGTCGTTAGAAGCGGCGGCCTCACCTTCATTGTCATCGTCGTTATAATTATCATCATCATCAGTATTAAAGCATGTATGGTTAGGTACAGTAAATATGATTGTTAAAAAAGAAATGCATATTTGTTTAAAATGGATGAGACTTTAAGTAAAACGAGGTCCCATCTATTTTTGTTAGAGAGGGCCCGTGATTTGTTTGAACGGAAAATCATAAATAGCAATAAAACTGACTACTAGTATATTTCTATGGCATGAATAGCATTGATATGGCCATTTTGCATAACGTTAGTATAAACAATACTTAAAAATTCCCAAAAATACTTCATACATATCAATTCAAACAATTTCACACGAATTGTTTGTGCGAATCTTACTTTGTCTAACTTGTAATGATGGCCTGATCTTTACACAAAACATGTAGGCTATTTAAAAATTCAGTGTTTCAGTTGATTTACTTTCATTTTTCTTGAAAAAAATAATTCCCCCTTAAATGATAAATGGTTATGCCAAGGCTGAAAGATAGATAAGTCCATTTCAGTTGTTTATTGGGTAAGGGTAAGGTTTAAGATATCGTCTGCTTCATTGAACTGGCAAAAACGATTATAATTGTACTGGACCAAAATTGTTTATTCGAAAATAAGTTTGATTTAGATATATTTTATAAATTTAATGATTATAAACAAAACAGTGTTCAAAAGAGTTGACGCGTACATCAGCGGGTCAACATTGCCACATTTAAAAGTCACGTGAGTGCCAGAAAGAAAATGAGTAAGATACACATTTCCCATCGTTTAGGGTGTATGAATTTATAGATAATTGTTTATTGTTAATGTTGTTTTAGGTATTGACCCAAATTCGTCAGAAGAGCACAAAAGGTACTTAGAATCAATGTGTGACGACTTTGTGCAGCACATGATTGGCATGGTGGAAAAGTCTGTTGCAGAAAAAGAAAAAATCAACGATCCTCTGATAGAGGAGTGCCTTCAACACATTCGATTCTGTCAATCCAAATGCGAAGGTTTTACCGGAAGAGAAGGAACGTTAGAGGTAAAATGATTGTATTTTCTGCACGATTTTCACATACAAACGATCGATTTATCATGACACCTTATTACAGCTGACTTTCTAACTGATTTAATGAGTGCAAGGAAATGTTACTAAGCCATGAAGTGATTTCATCTCAAATCAATAGGAGATCAAATCATACCTACTTTGTCGCGATAACACATTATTTACGTTGAAGTCTGCTGTGATTTTGTCTCCGTGGATTTATGTATTTATTATTATCGCCGTTCCCGAATGGCGATATATACAATTAACAAGATTTTAACAATCCTACTGTACACCGCCCGCATTTAGACTATCAAAGCGAATTATTTAATATCACATGATAACAAAATGGACGTCAAAAAACTAAGGGGTGCGTAAAGGGGCTCGACCAATCGCCATGTTTGTCAGCTTACTTATTTGTACAACTAAACATTTTAAAAAGATTTTCGGTCGAAGTAAACTGATTAACATGCAAAAAAGAAATGTGAACAATGTTTGCATAACAATGACATGATAATTATTTCTTGTAGCTAAGAAAATATCCATTTTGTAAACATTGAAATTAAATTATATCATTATGATATTGATGATTTTTTTTCAAAATAGGACAACTTCTATTTTAGGTGTCCCTTTTACTTGTTTTACGTTTGACTTTTTGTAATCATTTACAAATTAACCTAAAAGTTTAAGAAGTATCCTCATTCCTGTACATTTTATTTTAGACCTATCCTTATTTTTTAGAATGGTAAGAACTATCCTTCACATTTTATTTTAGAATGTTCATAATTATCTTTTACATTTTATTTTAGAAAGACCAATGAGCTGATGAGATTCACCGAATTCAGTTTGTAATTTTAAAATGACTTAATTTTAATATGATTAATGAAAATTCTTCTTATATTAAGTCCTTCCCTGTCAATTTTGCAGGAAGTCAAACTGATAATAGACGTACTTCGTCCGAAAAAATAATCAATGTACGATCTCAGTACCAGTCTTTATGCTATTGCAGGATAAACACAGCAAATTGCAATATCTTCTTGCTGCATTCGTATCTGATTAAAGACTGTAGTCTAAATAAGTGTATATTTTGTTTTTCTTTTCAAAACTTGCACTTAAAGAATAAAAAATTGATCAATGCTTTCTTCCGGGTGAGTTTAATACTATGAGAGTTTTCATTGCATCATACCTATAATATAGCAGGTCAGTTATAGTCTGTTAAAAAACTTCGCAACGCAGTCGACGGAGTATAGAACGTAAATTCCATTTATAGAATGCATGAATCAAAACATTCACAGACATCAATTTTAATGTGTAGCTAGTAACTTAGTAGCTTATTATTTTTGCCGATTGATGCACTTATTAAGTAGCGTATGTAGTCCAAATAATTATACTAAGCGTTTAGTTATTGTGATATTTTTCTTATGGGCAATATCTTCCAGATTGTGACCCACAACAAAAATAAATGAGACTCTAGATTAGCACGTCAAAATATTTTAATGAGAACTGAATTGTAGAGTAAACCTAGTATTTGTGTTGACTATATGTGTTAACCGCATACAATAAAGGTATAAGGCAAAACAATGAAATATAATTTCTATATTCAAAGCTGAACGGCGATTCAAACGCAAATACTTGTAAAATAAATATTACTATTGAATATGTACAGAAAATCAAAAGCTACATGACAGGTTCCGGTGCAGGAGGCAACCAGCCGCTAGTGTTACACGGAACCAGTGGTACCGGAAAAACATCTATACTCGCCAAAGCTGCTGAGATGGTTAGATCGTGGATGAGTACACCGCCTGTTATCATTTTGAGGTAAAAAGAAAGACTCATGTTTAAAGGGTTCGTCGCCTTAACACAGGACGCGAGTGTATTGAGGCACAATTCTACTAACAAAGGGTAACGCTTTTCACGTGGTTAAATATATGTGCGTCTCAACGCAGGGGTTGTCTGCTTTATCGAGATTCTAGTAACGAAAGATAGGTTTTCAGTATCTGCGTCCGGACGCTAGGTTTAAGTGTTTTGGCTGGAGCTATCTACGTGCGGGAATCGCTTGCCTCATGATAAAAAAGTTTCAGTCTTTCGAATGCAAAGATTCTTTGCTCAAATCTGCTTTGCTTTCACAGTTTTTCCTGTTATACTTATACTCGAATCGGAACAGGAGGGTTTGTTATGTAATCTTACAACCTTTTCCATATTCAATTAAAATGTTTTCAAGATAATACTTAACATCTTAATGTGCATACCCTTACTGACCATGTTATCCGTAACATACTTACACTATCGTTATTGCTTCACAAAGGCTATTTCAAATATATTTTACTCTTTTTTTTATAGATTTTTGGGAACATCTCCGGACAGTTCAGATTTGATGTCGTTGCTTTATAGCATATGCTCTCAAATAAGACAGGTTTATAATCTTAAACCACTGCCAAGAACACAGGTTTGTTAAAATGTTTCACTTAGTCTGGGAAGACGTAATAGACGGTTTGTTTGAATCTTTATTTCACAACACAATATAATTTGACAGATCTATACTAGAAATCTTTTTAGAAAGTAGTATATTGTTGAATAACCACTAGCTTTGGTTAATCTTTTATAAGAACAGATGACCTTAACCTTTTATTATCATCTTGACCTTTTATTAACACTATTGCCAAAATTCGCTTCATCACTCCTGTATTCCATTGGTATTTTTAATATATTTTCTCTTTAAGTAGTAAACTTAATGTGTGTTTACATGTTTATATTTTTGAATCTTTCTTTCATGCTTTAGGACATAGAGGTACAGATAAATGATTTTGAATTTATTATGAAGGAGAGTCGTCCTCACCTACCTCTGGTGCTGATCCTGGATTCACTTGACCAGCTAGACGACACCTACAATGCTAGACAAATGACTTGGTTGCTTCCCAAATTAACACCCACAACAAAAGTGATTCTTTCAACATTACCGGAGCCAATTTACCAGTGTTTCCCGGCGTTGCAGGTATACCATTGGCAATTTACCCAAGGGTTTTGCCCCAGAGGCCCTTGACATTTGTAAACCACCAATTTATCGGTGCTTACATAACGTCCATTGAGCAGTGTAAGTACAATCATCTTTTTTCTGTTTTCTAAATACATATACATGTATTAAAGAAGTATGGCTGATATTCAATGGCATATGGCAAATTCTTAGAACGTTTGATTCCAAATCTTTTAGGTACATGTCAAATGCTATGTCCGATGTCCGAAAGGGCGGATGAACCTCACGAAGTAATAATCAAAAAACTACTTTTGAAAGAATTACTTTAGATTTTGGTTCAGCTTGAAGCAACTCTGTTTATGCTAATTGAAAGAAAAAAATATAAGTACATGTTGTAGAAGCTGATTGTTATACATGTATTTCCATTTCATTCAGAAACATCGATCTGTGGTAAAGCAAAAACCCTTTACTCTCCGTATGGGCCCGTTTTAGTTGATATTATTTCACATTACATATCCCACTCCTTTCACCCTTATGTCTGCTCCAGGCTTTTTGAGTGTGTCGGGGGCCGCGTCCTGTGAACGTTGCCTTTGCCTTGTTGATCTTTATTCTTGTATTTTTCTCTCAAAGAAACAAAATTTGACTGAAATGAAAAACAGTATTTACTTATTATTGTTCAGTATCTGTAAAATTGTATATATATCTGTATAGAAAATAAAATAATTATTTTTTTCGTCTTATACAGTCAGTAATCACCGCACCAGAAAATTTTTTGGACGTTCCAGTGCTTGAAACATCAGATGTTAAAAGTATTCTAAATAAGTGGCTATTAATGCGAAAAAGAAAACTGACAGACCAACAACAAAAAATTATATTGAAAGGTTTTAAGAAGTGTTCTACTCCCCTTTTCCTGAAAGTGAGTTTTTATTGTCTTGGTTGTGTACAATGAATAATTTATAACTTTGCTTATAAAGACTTTATTCACGCACATTATTCCGACCAATAGGGTGACGATAGGTACACCCGCTCTATATGCTTATATGTCACACATAACATTTTGGTGATCAAAGGGATTTAAGCTGATGTTATTGTTACTGTTTCTGTCAATTAGACACGGATATATTTTAACAGATATTTTATAATCGGTATTCTAGTTTTGTTCTTTTAAAACTTTTAAGACATACGCAAACTATTTTGAATACCTTCAAATGACATTAACTTGTGAATGATAAATTTATTAACCCACAGGGTCTCTCATTTTGCTATATTTTTCTATATTAAATTTAATAATAAATTACTTACATCTCAGATTATTTTTAGCGATTGAAAATCTTCTGTAATTAAATGAGAAAATCAATCTTGTTTTATAGCTATCGTTCGAGGAAAGTACAACTTGGATGTCATTTTATTCGCTCGAGAAAACCGCGCTACAATCTACTGTGCGTGAAAGCATTGAACATTTGTTCGAGAAATTGGAGAAGATGCACGGGAAAATTCTTGTATCGAGAGCGCTATCTTATCTTACTTTAGGTAATTAACATCAACCCTTTGCTTTTAACAAGTTGTAGATGCTAATAATGTTTTATATTTGTTTTTGAAAAAAAAGAACCAATATTAAACCTACTTGTTATAATTAGTAAACAAACAAGCTATAAAAAAGTAGAGCTCATTATGTTTGACGATTCCTAAATTATAAAACTTGAATATGACGTCACAATTGATATGACGGAAGTAAAAATCCATTGCAGTGTGGCGGCCGCAAAAGTCATAAAAAGCATGACTGATTTAATTGATCAGTATCAAAGTATAGGCCTTCAGTCTGTAAGGAACAGAACAGAACAAAACAGAATTTATTGGTTAAGGCCACCAGCCCATAACATATACAATTGTAACATTAAAAAAGAAACAATTTATGCGGATACACTCATCAGTACATTATAACAATTCGCACACATAACATTATTGAAGATAGAATGTAGACGTATCTTAATCAAAACTGCATAATCATCTTTTTTCGAATTGTTGCATGATAAACATAATTGGCAAGAATTTTTATATCATTTTCAATTTTACATGATATTAATATATTCAATTTGTGAACTGTTGCACAAGTATAATATTTCTTAGCAATATAGTTTGATCTTAAATATGCATACCGGACAGACTAGAGGAAAGTGAAATTCATTTTCAAATAATCCTAAAGAACATACTTTACAATTCCAATCATTTGAGTTCATCTTGCTATATGACTTTTTAGTCATTCCTAAATGTGAAAGCCCTGGTAGCAATGTCTGAATTTCCTGATATTTAAAATAGGTATATAAGTTTCTTAGTCATAATCACTAGAATCTAACTAGCCATACCATCCTTGCAAATAATTGTCTTTAAGTCTTTGACAAATTGAGAAAAATTCTTTCATTTTGAACAGATTGGTTCAACCAAACGTGCCCAAACCCATGACTACATAAAAGGTGTTCAATTTCATTTGTCCAATTAAAAAATTTAGCACTTGTTGTGCTTGAAAGCATTCTATAACAAATCTTTACATATCTGTCATTACGTAATTTCAATAATTTGAACCAGTACTTTATACAACGCTTGTTAGATTCTATGTAAATTGGATAACGACCACAGTCGCCTAATATTACATTATTGCAAGATTTTCTAGTTACGCATAAAATTTGTTTACAAGCTTAACGATGAATAAGCTCACAATTATCACGGGGTTTAAATCCCCATAATTCAGATCCATATAGAAGGATCGGTATGTTTTTGTACCAAATAATTTTAAAAATACATTAGAAGGCAATTGTCCATAATCATACAAAGAAGAAAAAAGAGAAAATAATACTCGTTTACCTTTCATTGCAAGTTAATTGCTCATAATATTTAACGGCATAGTGTATGTAAATACTACCCCAACATATGTAAAAGAATTAACTATTTCAAGTTGCTGATTGTTATAGTAAAGACATTCATTACGCGCTTATCGACTGCCCTTTTTAAAAACTTTTGTTTTTGATATGTTTACCTGCAAGCAACTAGACTTGGAAAACGTTTCTTATACATTAAGTTGATATTGTAAATCTCTAACTGTTTGGACAATCAAGGCTACAACATACGCAAACATTAGCAGCCATATTGAAAGTTTATTTGGCATTATCTGTATACCTCTAATTTTATCGTCATTGTTCATCATAACTGGTAATTCATTTTTGAAAAATGAAAACATTTTTGGCGAAGCCAGACATCCCTGCTTGAGGCCCATCGGGCAATTAAAATAATCTGAGATATGACTGTGAGAATGTCGCAAGCTTTTACATTATTATACATAGCGATACTATAATTTAAAAGATTTCCCCTTATATTAGCATTGTAAAGTATTTGCCAAAAATTATTTCGATTGATAGAATTAAATGCTGTTTTAAAATCAACGAATGAAACAAGTAATTTGCCCCTTTTCTTTGAAAGTGCCTTAGAAATATGTGATTGCAGAACAAATGCATTATCAGTGGTACTATAACAAGCTCTTTATCCAGATTTGGATTCGTCTATTCTATTAAAAAACTTTGGCATAAAAAGATAGACATCTATTTAAAATGGATGTGTATGTCTTACTTAAAATGTTAAGCAAGGAGATTCTGCAATATTTCGCTGGATCATTGCGATTACCCTTTTTGTGCAGTGGTATGATTATAGCGGAACTCCATGAATCTGGAAATTCCCCTTCAGCAAATAATCTGTTAATTAAAGTAACCATTAATGGCATAATTAAATCAAATGTGCATTTAAAGAAATTTGGTAGGAAATCATCAAGGTCCGGCGCTTTGGCAGATTTCAATGATTTCTGAGTTAAAAATCTTATTTTCATTTCCAGTTAAATTTCCATCAACTAGAGCGATTTCTTCTGCGTCTTCATCAACTAGGCCTTGAAATAATTTCTCAAAATGATCTTTCCAATATTCTAAAGGAATACTGCTTTGAACGTTACTATTCGAAAATGGAGTCAAAAAATACTTGATTTTTGGGTTATTTGAATCTTTTACAAAATTATCGAGCTCATTATAAAAAAAATAGTGTTTCTGTTTATCTTCACAAAGATTTTCAATTTTTTTTTAACTTGGATGTAATGCTCGCGGAGATTAGATTTCGAAGCGACGTAAATGATAGTTTTTACTCTTTTTTATTTTAAAGCATTCGTTATCAAACCATTTATGTTTATGCTTAAGAACAGTCCGCTTTGTTTCAGTTACGCAGACTTAGATTTGTTAAAAATATCTATTATGGAATCTAGTACAGAATCTATATCATTTGAGAAATCTCTATTACAACAAATCATGTCATGTAACCTTGCATTCTTTTAAGTGTAAGTTAAAGATTGTCTCAGATCTTCTACTGTCTTATCGCTGAAATTATAAACGACACGTTCTCATTATTATTTCCGGGTAGTAAATTTGAGAACACAACAGTACTAGAAAGATTTACTTCAATTGGATAATGACTCGATTCAGTTCTGTCCCCAACTTTAAAGTCTTATATAAGATTAAATACAGATTCTGATGCAACTTAATAGTCGATTACGCTGCTGCCATTACTGCTAATGAAAGTTTCATGACCTATTCCACAATCTTGACCACAGCGTCCATTTGCTATATATAAGGACTATGTTTTACAAAAATCTAATTGCTGAACGCCCGACCTATTAGTGACTGAATCACACGATTGTCGCGGCGGTAATGAATTTGACAAAATGACATCATAGTCCAGTAATATTGGGATGTTAGAAGTATTTTTAATATAATCCTTATGGTTACTAGTTCGTGCATTTAAATCGCCTAGTATGATATAATCAACCTCAGAAAAATTTACATCGAGTTCAAATAGATAATGTTCTAACACTTCCTAACCTTTAAATGATTCATAAATATATGCCGGAGAATTTCCCGGGGTAAATATACGATGCATTAAATAATATCTCTATATGCATTAAACAATCGCTTACATATTCTCCAAAATATAAAATTTACAATTTGATTGTAATTGTGATATATAACAATTGATAGATTTATGTATATAGACAGCGATACCTGCCATACCTCTTCCTTGAGTATTATACTTAAGGAAATCACAAGCTAACCACATACTCAAAGCGTATCATCTTTAATCTATACCTACGGAGATTAGTTTATGTAAGTCTTCTAGAAAATAAATGTTATTGAAAAAGATACATTTTTAGCGTAAATTATGGCATGTTAAACGTTGCAATATTCAATTAATATACACGTATATCTTTTATGTAAACAAATATCCAGCATGATTGAATAAATATTATGGTAAAGAATATAAAATTAGAGTTATACAATATAAATATTGGATATAGAACAAAAATTTAATTCATCGAATATTTCAACGTTTAACATGTCATAGTAAATGTTTTTTAACTCAATTGACATGACTCTATTAGATTGATAAATTTGATTTTACATGTTTTTTATTTAAGCGCACAACGGAGCTTCCGAAGCTGAGCTCGAGGACATTTTGTCGTGCGATGATGTCGTGCTGAATGACGTGTACATGTATTGGACACCTCCAGTGCGGAGATTACCTCCCTTACTTCTTGTAAGAGTTAGGAATGATCTTAGTCAATATTTAGGTATGTACTAGATCTTGCATATGTTTACTTTTAAATCAGGTTTTTTTTTCGACAATAAGACTCCAAGATGCACAAAGTTGAATAACAGGACGAAAACATCTTACTACACGGAAACAACATTTTAAACGTAACGGTTACGTTTTTCAAAAGCAGCAGGTACGGTAAAGAACGAACTGGCTGTATTTGTTTTAAGTTTGGATTAATACATATTAGCTTTCACGTGCGGAGGAGGACCAGAAATGCACTCTGTGAAATATTCTGGACATTGACCGGGGCATCCTAGAACCACTTCTTACCAATCTCAATAAATCAGATCATTGTTTTCACTCCGTTACAAAGCCTAGAAAATGGAAGTGATTAAGTACATGTAGTGATGTAGCCATGTAGGTAGGATTTGACCTGAATGAGTTTTGCGTCTGACCTTCTGGAAACTAGCTTGTTTTCTAAATTAATTTAATTTTGAAGTTGCGAGTGGGGTTCAATCGAGGAAATAATTACATCGCTTACTTTTTTTTACGATTTGTCAGGTGGAAAAAAAATACGGAGACAATAGCATTAGAGAAAGACAAGACCGTAACAGGATCGTCGTGTGTTAAGAGTTAACAGTTTGGCATTGAAAACAAGAATTGGTAAAATATGAAACTGTGCATTCAATCAAGATTATAAAACACATTGAAACAAAGAACACCATGAATCATCTTTAGAACATGTCATTATATAATAAGTAATGCAATTATGCAAACTAAACAAAATTGTGTGATATTTCAGTGGAGAGAGGGGCAGATGGAACTCGAGTAATGTACTGGTATCACCGACAGTTTACAGAAGCTGCCAAAGCCCGTTATTGTTCGGATCAAGAACAAAATAAAGTCATTCATTCCAATCTTGCTGATTTCTTCAACGGAACCTGGGCAAACGGTAATAGATTTATGACCAAAATTGATGAAAGATGGTGACATCACCTTAAATTGTAAATTTGTTATGCTTCTACGATACACTTTTCTTGGATCTATCTTAAGATTTCCAACGGAATTTTTTCATAAAAGTTTATAGAGACGTACTTTTGTCATTTTTAGCTGGACCTTTTGGGAAAAAAAGTAGAGGTATTGTTATAGTCCTGGCGGTGATGCCGTAGCCGTCCGCAAATTTGTACCTGGATCATAACTTTTTTAGTTCTTCATACTTGGCCACGACAACCCTTGGGACAAGACCTCTCAGTATACCACACTAACCTTGACCTTCATCCATAAATGACATTGACCTCCAAGGTCAAAAGTCCAAATTTTGCTTGTTCTTGCTAATATTGACTGTAACAGCAAAACTAACATGACAAGACAGACCGATTAAATTTATTAAAAGGAAACGTTAAGATTTGTTCAAACATTTCTTTGTTTGCTTTTAGATATATTCGTATTTATATAGGTATGCATATATATTTAGAAAAAGTAAAAAGTCAAGTGTTGCTCTTGATTATTTTATACTTAGGCATAAGTAAAAATCTTCCAGATGCATTCATTGTTTGACGCGTGCCCACGCACTTCACCACTATGGAGACATTTAAATAAAATAATTGTTTTTTTCAATTTTGTAAGTGATAATACAAAAGACGTTTTCTTTACATATGAGCTTTCATGTGCATAATATGCCTTGTGAAATACTTATTTAGGTACCAAAAAGCCTTTTACAACATGTAGCGGGCAGATAGGTGAAGAAGATCGTCACGTGTCCGCTCAGCCGCTGAAGTTTGGGGAGGACTACAATATTCGCGCCCTCAGTAACCTCCCTTACCACAGAATTAAAGCTTGTGATGAAAAACTTCTAGAACAGCAATGTCTTGCTAACGTTTACTTTTTAATGTCAAAAATCGGAGCCATGCCTCTGACGTGAGTTTCATATTTTACTTGTTGCTAAGTTCTACAATTTTCATGTGCAAAGCATAATTAATCAAAGACAGCTAGCAGCACGCGTAAGTAAATTAAAGGTATGAGTATATATTGCCTAAAAAACTTTTTGAGCACACCTTATTTATATATACCTTAGAAATTATTTTAGTTTTTGAATTTTTAAGATTTGCTCTCAATCAAATATTGATATCAACGTTGTAATTTTTACCGTGTACTTCGACAGATCCTGCTCGGTTTTCATGATTTTATTTTCAAATTTTACAAGTTTTCTAAAATATAATATATCACTTTAATTACTGTGTAGCTTTTTTGATGAATTTCTTATGTTCATTATTTACAGAGCAACGTTGAATGATTTTATCTCGGCGATTGAAGCATTTCCCGAAAATGATCTGATCAAGATGATATATGATTCCATGTTGTTATCTCAGAAAGGTCTTGTTACTGACCCTGGACAGATTGTTCCTCAACTTCTTGGGAGAATGGAGGAAAATCATGTTTGTTATTTTAACTGTTATTTTAATTTGTTTTTTTTTTAATTTACGTGTCTTTATTTACGTTGGTTTGATAAAATGTGAGACAAATTATGAATGTATGTTAGAAATTTGACTTTGCGCATTAGGTTTATTGTAAGTTTGTCTGTGATTGACAGATGCATTGCATAATATTTCAATGTTTATGCTCCATAAAACCTTAAGACAATGTTTCATCGCAAAAAAAATCGTGTAAGAAGGGACGTTTATTTTATATTTGAGTACATAATAGAATAATTATCTACGTTTATATAAGTTTAAGGTGTTTTTAATTAAATTCATATTTTTTTCAAAAGCATTTAATTATCATTACAAAATAATAACGAAACGTCGAAAGATTGTTTCAGGCCTAAAATGATACAGAAAGGACATAAAGGTATATCTCATTCCCAATGCTTCAATCGGCTTAAATTTAAATTTCTTTTTCAAGAAACGCAAAGTAGTTTTTTGGATGGATGTAAAACATGCGAGTTTCCGAAGTATTCCGTAATATATCGGTAGCGTTCCGTAGTCAGTCCATAACACTTGAACATTCGGAGTATGTTTTGTAAACAATGATTGTATTGTACTTATGATAATTTTACTCATTCACAACTTTTTAGAAGTGTTTTCCCAGACGATTTTAAACATGAAGTAAAAGTTACATTGCAAAACAAGTCCTTACTGTACTAACGCAGTATAAATATGGTAATGAATGCTGCAAAATCAGTCATTCATTGAATATAACATGTAAATCATGACTTGATTTGATAATATTTTTATTTTTCTTAAAAACTAAGCTCATTTTTCTCAAAGCTGATTTTCCTGAAATTATTTGGCTCATCTTGAGGCATTCAGCTTTTCGGATTAAAAAGTCAATGTTTTATTACACACATATCAGATTGGTAATTAGTTCTGTGAGATGTTTATTATTTGTGTTACAGGTAAACAAAGAGTTCATAGATCAATGTAGAGCATATCCGAAAACTTTCATAGAACCGGAAGAAAGAATACTAGAGAGACCAGGGGGACAACTTGTTCATTGTGTAGCGGCTCACAAATCTAAAATTAACATGATGGATATAACCAAAGATGGCAGTCTTGTTGTCACTGGTGAGTTAATACGACCTGTTCAACGAGTATTTACACAATGTTAATAACTACAACTCGTTGATGAGTTAAAGAAATATGTTATGAGTACACTGATAATCGATGCGCAGCTTATCCAGACTATCTATTCTCATGGACGGATTTCCTCCCTTGAATCTTTCGAATATTATTCGTGAAGAAGAGTCGTTGATCTATCTTTTTCTAAGCTCACCTGAGCTAGTTCAGGGTGAACTATAAGTATCATTGTATGTCCGTCGTCCATTGTCTGTCGTCCGTCGTCCGTCCACACTTGTTCGTTAACACAGGATGCTAATCTAGTTGATAGCTCAGATGAGTTCGAACATGGTGACATTTAGTGGTCACGTTTTTGACTCAATTATCATTACACTTGGTCAAAATGCTTGTCTAGTTAATAGCTCGGATGAGTTCGAACATGGGTCATCTCGGTTGAAAACTAGGTCACAGGAGCTAAAAATAGATAATTTCTTACTGAATCTACACTCTATTACTGTTTTGGTCCAAATATCCTGTAAATTGGATAAAAGTTTGTTTTGATGATGTCTATGTGAAATTCGAACATTGTTCATCTTGGATGAAAAAATAGGTCACACCGCCCAAATATGGAAAAACCTTGTAAACACTCTAGTGGTCACATTTTTGTCTCAATTATCATTAAACTTAATCAGGATACTTGCCTAGGTAATTGCTCGAATGAGTTCGAACATGTGTTATTTTACATGAAAAACTATGTCACAGAAGCTTAAAAATGAAAAATCTTGTTAAAACTCTAGTGGCTACTGTTTTGATCCAAGTATCCTAGAAATTGGTCTGAAAGTTTGTTTTGATGATTTCTAGGTCAAGTTTGAATATGGGTTACCTGGGGAAAAAACTAGGTCACACTACTCAAATATGGATAATCCTTGTTAACACTCGATGGGTCAGGTGAGCGATCTAGGGCTATCTTGGCCCTCTTGTTTAAGTAGCGTCCCTTTACTGCCATTTGGAATAAGAATGGGTGTTACCTAAATGTAAAGTGAGAAGGTTTCGGCCGGAAAAGGATTAAGAATTGTTTCTTGTTCTTTTCTATTTCAGTTTGTTAGAGTGACAATGAGATAAGTCTATGGGATATAAAAACAGGACGGCTTAAGCGGAAATTTTTGGGAGAGTACGAGAAAGCTTTGTTTTGTTGCAGTGACAAAATGATAGCTTGTAAAATGCATGCGACTGTTTCTGTAAAGGAAGTTGAAACAGGTCAGGCTGCAAATTTTCTTATTACTAGTTTTCGTTATGGTGGATAACACACATATATTTTAGTAATATTTAGCGTAAATATATCGAAAGATTGCTGCGGCAGCACTTAAAAGTATCAAGAATTCATCGAGAATAGATTGAAAGGACCAGTTAAAATTTATCGCTTGGATGCAAAATAATAAATTGATCAACAGAAATAGTAGTATATAGGGGAATCGATAGGATAGGTTAATCGATATTGACGTGGGAATCGACACGGATTGGTTGGAATGGACAACGATGAGCATATCGAAATGTAGAAAAGAATCTACATGAATAAGAAAATCAGCATTGTTTATTAAAGTAAAAGACAGCGATTAGATAATCGAAATAAAACGAATAATCCACTAAGATCATTTACTAGTATTGAGGATTTGAAAAAGGGAAGAAAGTGTAAGAATTAAGGAATTTATTGAATTAGGAACTGATAGAATAAGTAAATCGATAGAATAAGGCAATTCATAAGAATCGGAAAATTGCTCAAATTAGGGAATGATAGTATATCGAAATGGTAGGAATAAGGAAATTGATAAGAAAGTGAATTGATATAAATTTGTTAATTGATATAGAATAGGAATGTTGAAAAATATTGTCTTTAATTATGTTATCTAATGCCAGTTTATAATAATATGTTATTTTTGTTGTTGTTTATTTATAATATTTATATCAGAGACAGATTTCTCCATATCTCTGGTTATAATGTGTTTTTTCTTCAGGAAAGATGCACTGCACTGTCAATCTACCTTCATGTTCATTCGAAACAAGCATATGTGTTGCTGGGAAGGTCAAGTCGTTACTTTTGGCATTCACACAAACTACCTGCTTTATATATGATCTTCATGACAACGGGAAGCTTATCAAGCCTCTGTTACATCCAGAAAAAGTGAAATTTGGAATTTGGAATGGAGCTTAACTAGTGGTATGTCAAAAAATTGTCATAAAGAAAAATTTTGCCGAGAATCGGAATGGTCGGGGAGGGGAAACTCATTGCCATCCACTGGATTCCACTAAACCCTTTTGAGATTTGGATAACAAAACAATTCTAAATACTAGTCTAAGCAAAATGTGTCCTTTTGTTGGAAAAAAAACCCTAAAAATTAACGGTCTTCGTGGTCAATTTATACGCATCAAAACTCAAAGCCAGTATTACATAGCCGATGAATTGAACTGAGACGGACATCATTTCATTCATAATTTAATGATTTTATTTACACGTAGATACATTTGTAGATTGACGTGTCATACGTAAGTTACAAATGTAGTCTGAAAGTTTTTTTTCACAATGCGTCATTCGTCGAGTTATAAATAAAATGTTTCTGAATACCTAAAAATACAAAATTTTGGAAAAAAATCCTACTATCTTTGATGAACTTGTTTTTTTAAATTTATTAAAAGTCGAAGATTCAAAACAACAATTTAGTTTTATTTTTGTCTTATTTATTGATGATTACAACCATTTGACATACAGCTACAGACAACTTTGTTGCTGTGACCGACTCATGGCGAATATTTATCACCGTCCTTGACCTTAAATCCATGACCTTCATGAAAAAGTTCCGAGGTATTGAGATTATCTATGACGAGGATGATGAAGAAGAAGAGAGCAAAAGAAGAATAGTGAGGACAATTTCCATACATCCCGATGAAACTCATCTAGCATATGTGTTAACCAGTGAAATCATATTCGCTGATTTCCATGGAAACAAGATCAGAAATATGCCAGGTATAGACTAATTCTCCGCTTACATTATTATTCTAGGTATAGCTTTAAGTGTAAATTATTCCATGTTTCATGCTGAGCCAAATTGAAGAGTAACTTAGCTAAAATAAATGATAAATTATAAGTTTTATTTTTTGCATGAATCGGCAACCATTTCAGGTTTTTTACTATTGACTGTAAATAGTGCGGATGTTAGTTTTTTGCGCATGCGCGGTCTGCAATCAAAATGGCGTCCGAATTTAAAATAATCGTCGAAAAATGTCAGATTTTCAGAACAATCAATAAGACAGTAATGATTTAAAAAAAAAAATTATGGTTTCAGTTATCGAGCTGACATGTAGAAGTTTAGATTTTACACCAGACGGGAAACATTTCTATGTCCATAATGTTGAAGAGCTTCATTTCTTCAACACTGACACTTTAGATGTAAGCTTTCATAAAATAATGTATGCATATGAATCATTTCGTTTGATAATTTGCATTATCAAATTTCATTTGATAATTATTATGATTTTGATTAATTTCAATAGATATTGATTAAATATAAAACCTTCTACACTGCTTTCTACTTAAGAGTGTCCGACTGGTTACGGCAACTTACTTTGAAGCTCTTGTCTCACACAGTTTGTGTTCGAATTCCGCGAGAGTCATTTGTTACAGAGGCTATTTAACTATCTTACAAAAGGTCAGCAGTTCTACTCACGTGCCCGTATGTGTTTGAAATAATGCACACAGTGTTACATCAGAAAAGCTCGATGAAATGTCGTCATATGACGTGTTACATAAAACAGTACCAAGGACGAGTTGAGGTTTTAATGAAAACTTCCCAGTTTTTATTTGATGGTTAAATAAAGATACATAAGAGGATTAATAATAAAATCAGTTTCTGCATTTTGTAAGAAAGCAAAGTTGAATAAATAAATAAATAAATAAATATTAACTCCGTCAAGAATGACGTGATTTTGCTTTTATCAAATCACAGGAAGTCGACGAGCTACATCATGGTAATAGATTGGAAGCATCAAAAACGATAGACATGAAAACGGTGATCACTGTAGCTGGTGACAGTAATTTACGAATCTGGGACCGGACGAAAAGCAAACAGCCTACAAATGAAAGCGCGGACAATAATCTTTCTCAAAAGATAGGGCGTATATAGTGAGATTATACATATTCCTTTACCCTTACAACGTTAAATGAACTTTTTCTCTTTCAATCAGGACAAAATCATTTATCATTTTTAAGTAGATATTGTAAATATGTATTAACTAAATAGCGATCAGTGCAGACCATTTTTACATTCCTGATATGAGTTGTTATTCATCAAGTGGACTTCATAGTTTTTGAATAATTTAAACGAAACGAGGCGCTAGTAATAAATAACCAGAACCTTGAAATAATGTGTCACTTGAAATAACAATGCATAAGCTTAAAATTTGGTCTTCTGGATGGATATACAATGTAATGCGTTTGCCCTCTGCATTGCATTTAAAACACCTCTCCGTTTATGAAAGTATAAAATTTTCTTGCAAGAATTATTTTTGAAAATGAAGATTCAACCCTGCACAACATCATTATGGTGTTAAGTTGTCACCCATATCCCAGTCAACATTTATGCTTAACTTAGCCAGGGAAAAATGGCAAAAAGAACTATTTTTTCTACATATGACGTCAGTACATATCGACTCGGAAGTGATTCCCACATATGACGTAAGTACATTTCAGTCCAATAAACCAACATATGACTTAAGCATTTCAGTCTAACAGACCCACTCGGTAGTAAATTATACATAATGAACGAATTTTTACATATATTTTTAAAACAACATTCATGAATGATATCTTTCTTTTTTCGATCTGTTTTACAGTAGACTTTGGTCATTGGAACCTACAAGATACATGTTCGTAGAAGGTACAGCCACGTCAGAGTCGTCAGATGTACTGTTTGGCGTTTATGATTGTATCACGGACAAGTTTATCAAAATACGAAGAATGGTTAATATTAATCAATATTTTCTGGTTTATTTAATTATAATTGTCGGATAGGGTACTATACTACGATAATAATGTACAGCACGTTGTGTCTGGTTTATACGTCTATTCAAAACTACTTTATCGTTTATACTACAAAACATAGGAAGTGACGTATTTCACGTCACGCATACGTTGGCGTCATTTAGCGGCACATGATTATTAGCGCAATTCCCGACATTCTGTCCTCCATCTGGATTTGCTGGTTAGTTGCTTTGCTATAGGATTGAAGTTCTTTCAGCTTTATTTCCAACGTAAATCCATATTCTTCACTGCTAATTATTTCCTCCTCGATATCCGTAACTTCCGTCAGTTCTATAATCTTTTCGTTTAAGGAATTAATTGTCTCTGCTCCACTGATTATGGCTTCAAGAATTGCGTTAAATTCTATCATTGATGAATTCTCTTGCGCTCGTTCAATTCGTTCAAGCTTTTTTTCGATACATCTTTGCTGTCCCTCTCTGACTGATCGCAATTTATCTATCTTCATGATGTTTTCGTTACGGCACCAATGTCGGATAGGGTACTATACTACGATAATAATGTACAACACGTTGTTATCTGGTTTATACGTCTATTCAAAACTACTATATAGTTTATACTACAAAGCATAGAAAGTGACGTACTCTCACGTCACGCATACGTTGGCGTCATTTAACGGCACATAATTATTAGCGCAATTCCCGACAATAATCAAATAGGACCGGTGTTTTTATGCCCCCGGGCATTTAGTTATTGAACCATCCATCTGTCCGTCCGTCCATCAGCTCTCACGGGACAGTAATAATGTGGCTAGAGGGACAATAGGTAACTGTTTTTTTCTCTTTGATGTCATTCATTCCGTAGTGCTTTTTTGTTGCTATTTTCTTTTGAGTGGCTAAGAATAATAATAAACAGAACAATAGAGTAGCCACATCATTACTGTCTTGTTAGAACGGAAGTCCGTCCGTACGAGATTAACCTAAAAGAGCAAATTGGGTTTTTCTTAATTACTACCTGTACCAATTGCTTTATACTTTGTAAACACACTTACTTATCAACACAATCTATATAATCTTGGCAAGCTTCATAACTATGGTTTTACATTTTAACCAAGTTATTGTCCTTCCTTTTCAGCACTTAGAATATGAATAATTGGTAATTCTTAAACGGCAAATATGATATTTCTAAAGTTCCATTTATACTAATAGCTTCATAACTACCAAACTTACTTATCAATACAAGGTAAATGATATTGCCAAGTAATATAACTGTGCCATCCATTTTTTCCTTGTTATTTCCCGTTTAATCACTTGGAAAGTAGGACCTTGTATGCTGTATCTATTCCGGCAAGTTGAATTTATCTTAAATTTCTCCTTATTACTTCATTTATTTATCAATATCTTTTATATTTGGTAGGTGGATACCTTTTATGGACCTCTAATTTTTTATGGAGTATGGGATTGCTAGGGTTAGGGTCAAGGTCACTGGTGTAAACAAAATTAAACATTTTTGCTCATACAGCCTTAATTCTTAAATTGATGTCAGTGAGATTTATAACAAGCTTAAAAATAACCTTTGGGTTAAGTTAGGGGTCATTTGGGTCAAGGTCAAGGTCAACAATGTCATAAATATATTTTTATACTTTTACCGGTGTATTAACCTTATTTTATTGACAGATGTCTCTTTATATTTTTGTACAAATATGAACATTTTTTTCTTCGGATGGATTTAGGAGTCAGTTGGGTCAAGGTAACCAGTGTAAAAATTGATTTTCACACTTTTGCCCATACAGCCTTTATATACTGACAAATGTATTTTATATTTGGTAGGAATATAACTTACACGATATTCTTCTTTTTTATTGAGGTAGGGGTCAATGGGTCAAGGTCAAGGATGCCAAATAGATTTCTACTAATTTCCAGATACGGCCGTTATTTTTTTATTGTTGATTTTTATATTTGGTAGGATAATTACGTTCATGGTATCCTCCCTTTAGTAAGGGGTTAGATGGGTCAAGGTCACAGTGCTAAAAATAGATTTTTCCACTTTTGCCCATAAAGCCTTTATCAATGGACAGATGTTTTTCATATTTGGTTGAAAGATAACTTGCATGTTTTTCCTTTCGATTGAGGTAGGGGTCAGTGGGTTAAAATCAAGAAAGCCATTAACAGATTTCTACAGCTTTAATTTTTGACTGATTTTTTTCATATTTGAAAGGATAATAACTTGCATCCTTTGATAGAGTTACGGGTCATTTGGGTCAATGTCAGCTGGGCTAAATAAGATTTTACGCTTTTTATACAACCTTAATTGTTTTTTTCACCAATGTCATATACTTACAAGGAACATACCTAAGGTGGTCCTTTAAGTTCTGGTGAAGTTTGGGGTCGCTTGGTTCAAGGTAAAGTCTTGCATTTACACATATATATGTATGTGATAAGTTGTATATTTTTCAACTTCATCACAAGTTATAACTTAAATTTTTCAAAATTACAAAACGCCATGACGCTGTCAAGTTCTATAAATGTGTTTATATATTTCTTTACTATTTTCTGTCCATAACTGAGTGACTTGAAATATTGTTACTGACAAGAATCTGAGCCGGGGGCATTTGTGATTAACAAACACGTTCTTGTTTTTAAACATAATTATATAAGTAACTTACAATTCAAAAATTACCACACAGATGTTTTCACCTTACGCATCGTAGGCCTACACTCATTGTTATACTTCATTAAATGGCTTTCATGACAAATTTACGGTATTTGAGTTAAAATAAGGCAACCTTTGCAGGCATGAATCGACAGTTAAATGTACCATATCTAACCATTTTTTACATATAAAACAAAAGTTAATTATTAAAAGAAAAACAATCGAAAATATTTGTTTAATTTATAGAACGTGATAACCTATAGCAGTAACGTACATCAGATAGATGCAACAAGGGTTTTGGTAAAACTGAATAGAAAATTATTTGTCATAAATTTGAACACGATGGATATAGAGACAAAACTGCAAGGCTTCACATGCAAAGATTCGTCCTATTTCAAGTACACGCCTCGAAATCGTAAGTGGACTCTCTGTTAAATTAATCACATGGTGTCCGTGGCTGAGTGGTTTAAAGCATTTTTTCTCCACACACACCCTCTTCAACTGGATTTTTTCAAGTGAGGAAGTTGTCCAACCAGCTTATTTAACGTCGGTGGTTGTGCCCAAGCGCCTGTTCCTGCTTGAAATAATGCGCGGAGGGGCATCCGAGGTCTTCCTCCACGTTTGTCCTGGTGCGACGTAATTCCCCACTCATCACATAACACAAATGAAGATGACGATAATCAATTTTAGCTCGATTGTTAAAATGTTTCAAATCTTTTATGTGGTCGAGTTGTACTAAATATGCTATAAGCATGATAAGATGTAGGTAGTTGTAAACAAGGGGCATAATTCTGAATGCAATATGATTTAGAAGTTATACCCCTTATCACTTACGGATATTTACGTAAATTATCCAGAAGTGGGATTTCAAAGCTAAGGTTTGTATCACCATGAAACTTAGAATTTGTTTTATTGTCACGACAAAGGGATATTTGTTAGACAATGGGCATTGTTCTTGGAGTTTTACTTCTTTTTAACTAAAATGTCTGTCAAAATTTCATGTTAAGTACGATGATTAAAAAAATTATCGAAGCTATCGAACGCTTGATGAACAGTTGTTAGAAGAGGGACATTCATGAAAGCAATATTTAGAAGGTACGCCCCTCTTTGATTAAGAAAATTTATTACAAAATTTGTTATTCACAGACGAGCGTTAACACCGCATGCGGTGCTCTAGTTTCTTATTTTTGGTTTATGTTTATTTTGTACAATGATGCACGATTTTCTATCTGTTTGAGTTATTAAAGTTATAGGCCTGGAGTTAAAATATAAAAGTTTCTATTAGAAATTAAATAATGTGTATGTAACATTTTTCTTTTTTCAGAGCTAATTTGTCATACAAAGGCAGACAAAAACCTTAAAATCTATGACCTAAGTACGGGTAAGGTTGTGTGCGTCTTAAAAGCGGGACAGACTATGAATTTAGAATCGTTTGTTGTAAGTAATATTATAGAAGTTTATTCGGAAATTTTGTATTATTTTGTTCTATGTTATATATGATTAATATTCAATCAATTTTGTTCAAATTTTAAATATAAGTTCTAAAGTAATTTTCATGGTATTTCAGAAATTGCTTCTGTGTTTTAAAACGTATTTGTTATACGGTTGACGTGTTGTGTATTCAGTTTAGATATGTTATTCGTGTTGTGTATTCAGTTTTGATTTGTTATTAATGGTTAAGGCACTATTTGTTTTAAAGACACATGGAAATGCAAATAATTAAGAAAAACAACGACGACGACAACAACAACGACACCCCCCCCCGAAAACAGATACATGTATATGAAATTGGTAACAGTGAAAACGTATTTTCGATTCTAAATATAAATATGCAATGTGTATTTAACACCAAAAATAATATGCTCAAAGAATAAGGAACCGATACTTTTTTTTATAAAAAGGGACACTGCGTCTAATTTGTTTGTGATAAGGATTTAGTAAATTTTTATGAAACATATTCATTGAAAAGTTTAATCGGAGTTCTCCAAACATTCGTAAAATACAATGTATATAAAAACAAATTTCTATATTACTAAGTTTGTTAAAGGCTCATGAGGCCCGTTTCCCACCAAAAAATGTGAGTTTTTTCATACTTCTATGAGTTATCATTTTCCATATAGCCGAGTCATTATTTGCTTCTACAGCATTTTGGCAATTAGTATAGTTAAACTTGTATGTACGTCAAAATAACTTTTTGCATACATTGACAAGTTATTTCACGTTCAGTGCTATATCTAACATCCTTCAATCCATTATTACAACATAATAAAGAATATGTTGACTTTTTCTTAAGTAAAAGATTTGTATTCATTTCTGAGACATAATTGGCCTTTAATGGCATACAATTTCTTTTCAGTTTTTTTATGTACAATACATACACAATGTGTGACTGTATATGAATATGCCACGTGCACTTAATCACTAACAGTTAAACTGCACGTGTGTTTTGTTTCAATAGAAAAATATATACTGATTGTATGCACTTGAATTTCTTTAGGGACCTGCATGGAAAAGTTGTTAAGCTTTCTGACTTTCAATCACCCCCGCCCATTATTGTGAGTTTGAACCTTGCCAGGGATGTCGGATTATTTCATATGAGGAAGCTATCCAGTTAGTTTGCTTACGAACATTATTCATTTATATTAAGGTGCGGATGCGTACTCGGATTAATGCACGGACGGACATCTAAGGTCTTCATCAATCAGTCATGTGAAAAGTCAGCATTTAACCATTGCGACGATGTGACGATGTTGATTTAAATCCAAATAAAGTTGCGTTAATAATTTTTGTAGGTGAATAGCACAGGAAAAGTCGCGTGCGCATCTTCTGATAAAGGGCCGCTAATTCTGTATGATCTTGTTGACCAAGAAGTGATGTATACCATTCCTTCAAGTAAGTTTTACTATATTTTACACGCTATAAGTATAAATAAATCAATCAGAACATGAAATTATTTCAAATTGAAAACAAAAATCATAACCTTTGTATATGTAGTATATTTACCACTTTGACATAACTCGTAAGGTTTTACTTGATTTCTTACATCGCTGGTATAAATTACTTCCCTGTACATTGGCGTAACATTTTCTTTACGCATGATTGGCTGAAGATATTATAATTATTGTATTTTACTCTCTTGTATTGGCCATTTGAATATTTACAGTATTTAGAATATAAAAATATGTTTTAAGAATCAGATTTACCTGCAATTTATGAAAATATGTATTATTTATGTTTGTAGAGCCCGATTACCACGAGCGTGTCGGTTTGTATAAGTGGATAAATGCTGAAGGTACACGACTTATATTCAGCACACGGGACAACCTACCTTATATGACAGAAGGGGTCAGAGTTGATCATCTTGTTGTTTGGGACATACAAAACAGTCTGTATAAAATTTCTCATTTTTTATTCATACAATCGTATAATCAGTCGGCACAAAGAAATCACGTTTTCCTGAATCGCTACCAAAGAAATAAAACCTTTTTGAAGAAAAAACATTATGTGTTATGCAATATGATCACTTTTGACGTTCTTTATTAAGATATGTGACGTAATCGTTATACTTTTGACGTAACAACAAAAAATGGGACGCGCTGAAAATAAGAACGAAAACAAATCAGGCGAATTTCAACTTAATTAATGTCATAGAATCGAAATAACATATCCCAATCGGATACGCTCTCGTAATATAATTCCTCGCTTTCGAACTCCAAAGTTTGAAACAGTGATTTTACTGAGTGATAAAATCACAGTTTTGGAAATAACACATGGGTTTGTGGGTAACTGTAAAAATATCATTTCGAGGAAAATACTGTTTTCCAGTAACAGTATTTTTACGAGAGATTATATGTTTACTGTTACTCACAAACCCATGTGTTATTAATTTTATTACCCTGAACAAATACTTTGATGATCTGAAATTGTCAACTAAATCTAACAAAAATAAACCAAGAGAAACAATTACTTAATTATCCTTACCTTTTACGTTTTAAGTGTACTGTAGGCCTACTTTTGAAGTTATTTTTTCTTTGAAAGAATTTCGGGCATATTATGTTATAACCCCTCGCGTCCGTCCGTCCGGGCTCTTTGAGCTTCATTCCGTCCATAATTTTAGTTAAAAAAAGAAGGAAACCCCATAAACCTACTGGTTTATGTGGTGATTTCACTGTTTTATGGGGAAATATGCCACATAAAGTGCAAAGAAAAAGCACACAAACCCCAATTGTTGAAACGTCCGTCCGTTCGTCCGTTAGCAATTTTGTTTCCGGAGCATAACTTAAGTTCCATTTGGCAAACATTATTAAAACTTCAGAGGATGATTGTCCATATTGGGTACAAAACCCCTATTGATTTTGGGGTTACAAGGTCGAAGGTCAAGGTTACTATTACCTTAAAACTGAAAACAGTTTCCGGAGCATAACTTTAGTTCCATTTAACCCACAATATTCAAACTTCATAGGATGATTGTCCATATTGTGTTGAAGACCTCTATTGATTTTGGGGTCACAAGGTCAAAAATCAATGTCAACTATTTCATTAAAACTGACAACGGTTTCTGCTCAGTAACTTAAGTATTTATCCAACTACAGCTGTAAAATTTCATCGGATGAACAAGTCCAATACATGACCCCTATTGATTTAAGGGTCATAAGGTCACAAAGGTCAGGGTCACAATGATCTTTACATTGAAAATTGTGGTTTCTGAAGCATAACTTCAGTTCCATTTGGCCCACAGTGTTCAAACTTCAAAGGATGATTGTTTATATTAGGTAGAAGACCCCTATTGATTTTGGGGTCACAAGGTCAATGGTCAAGGTCACTGTTCCTTAAAAATGAAAACGGAGGAGTGCTTTTTAAAGGAGGTAATACTTTATTTAATGCCCATGTCTTACAAATGCTTCATCCTTATTAAAAAAACACTTTCGGGCATATAATGCTCCGTCTAGCGGTGCTCTTGTTCTTTAAGCAAGTAATGATATTTACCAGTCATAAACATACAATGAGCTGTGTTTTATTTATAAAACAAAACACAAACCCATTTATAAGGTTATGATCCGTGAAATCTCATCCTTCTGTATCCAGAATATTCTTTGCATGGTTTTTGACAAAATGCATTTACAAAATAATGAGGATATCCTATGTCTGGTCACCATATCCTTAATGTTTCACTGATTAAAATTGTTAAATAATCCTTTGTTGCATGCTTTAATCGTCTGCATGTTCCAGTTTGACAAATAATTTTTCACATTGCAATTGCTAGATGAAAACGGATGTTTACTTTTTGACTATTCAACAAAAGGATATTTATAAGCGAAAAGCACTCCAGTTTGCAAACAACTAAATTCATGTGTGTCATAGTTACTCTGGTTATGCCCTATAGTGCTGAACTTTGAAAATAACAATGAATCGAGAAAAAAAAATGGCGGCCATTTTATTTTATTATATTTTATTTAGAAAAAAGACCACGTTACCAGATTTTATACTGTTAAAAAGTACGGTTACCTATGTGACAGTACAAAATTCTAAGTCACGTGGTACACTTGCATTAACAGTAAGAATAACTATGGCCTATGGGAAATTAACATAACGAAAAAAAGTGAGGGGTAATAATGCAGAATAACAGGACGCCATCGATCTAACTTTAGTGAAAAGAAATAGAGGTAATGTTACAGTCATTTCGGTGTTGACGATTGTGTTGCCGTCCGCAAACTTGTACCTTGATCATAACTTTTTTAAATTATTGGTATATTGTCTTCTTGGCCGCATCAAACCTTTTGACAAGAACTTTTAGTAGACCAGACTTTTAGTAGAAATTGACCTTTATTCTTAAATGACATTTACCTTTAAGATTTTTTCATTTTTTATTGTTGTTGCTATGACTGACTAAAACTTGTTATCATGAATGGATTGTCTTAATATCATAAAAAATGTTTTTTTAGGTTAAAACCTAGTTGAATATTAAACTCAAATTGACCTTGACTCTCCAATGACCTTGACATTGAAGGTTAAATTATATAAATGAATTAAATACTTTTTGAGAAACAACATCATTTAGGTCAGGACCTTCATTGATATCAAACTCAAATTGACATTGACTCTTGAATGACCTTGAGCCTGAATGTCAAATTGTTTTATTTTCCTGATGTTTGCTATAATTGGTTGTAACTTTATAATTAATCAATGGATTATTTTCTATTTGGACAAGACAACCATTAGGACATGACATTCTTAAAGGTTGAACGGACATTGACCTTTAAATGACATTGACTTTCAAGGTCAAAGTATTGAAGTTTGGTAAATTTCTCATAATTTTATTATTTATGTAAGGATTTAACTCATATGTTACGGCAAAACAACACTTTTGACCAAACAGACATGTGAAATAATTTAGATATGACTTTGACCTTTAAATTACATTGACTGTAAAATAATTAAATTTTGATTATATTTTGTAACTTTTAAGCTCACCAGAGCCGAAGGCTCAGGGTGAGCTATTAGTATCAAAGGGGGATACGTCGGCGTCCGTCGTCCGTCGTCCGCCGTCATTCGTCAACAATCGTCTTCTTCTCTAAAACTGCTGGGCAGATTTACCTTAGATTTGGTTTGTAGCATCTTTATGACAATCACACTTAAATTTGCTCATGTCATTTCAATTGGCCCCTTTTAGGGGTCAACAGAGCTAAAAATAGAAAAACCTTTAATCATTTTCTACTACAGAACTAAAAGATGGATGATCACCAAACTTTGTCTGTAGCATTTTTGGGTAGTCTTTTATCACGTTTGCTCATATTAATTTGATTGGCCCCTTTAAGGAGTCTCTAGGGCTAAAAATAAGAAAACCTTTAGACATCTTCTCCTAAATAATGAAATGATGGGTTAAATGAGTGATCCATGGCTATCTTTGTGGCTCTATTGTTTATTATGAAGAAAAAATAAATCTAAAACAATCAGTGTTGTGAAAGTATATTACTAGAGGGGCAAGTTAAAGTTGAGCTGAACTTGCCAAAAGAGCTGGACTTGCCTTTCAGCAAGTTCTTTTGAAAAATAATTTCCAACACTGAAAAGCAGTTGTTTCTGTGAACGACTCAGGGTCATTATGGCACTTTTGTTCATTTATTTATGGAAAGGATTCATACTTGGACAAAACAACAAGTGTGACTATTCAGAACTATTAAAATTAAGAAAGGAAAAACTACTTTTTTCCCCTTTTTATTTTATTGTAAAGATTTGTTTTAACCGTTTGTTTATTTGCTTTTAGAAAAGGTAAAAAAACGAGCGTTGCCCCTGCCCGGCGGTGACTCTTGTTTTCAGTTTGTAAAGGTTGCAAGACAATTATAAAGAATTTACAAGATATGCGATTATAATAATGCCATGCCTGTATTATACTGTTTCTATTGGTCTATGTATAAGAGGATATTTATAGAAACTGTGAACAATAAATGGGAATTTATAAGTTTGAAATTCTAAGGCATAAATGCTCAAAAATTGTGTGAGAACTTATGTTCCAACATATTGATGATATAAATGTTGGCATACAAAAAGCAATAAATTGATAGGTTTATGCCAAGTTCATGTAATGATTGCAAAATATTTATCCCTTTTTCCTTCTTTATTTCTCACTTTTTTCTTCTTTGCTGCCACTTCTTTCTTTTTTAAACCACTTGTTCTGCTTTTTTGCCACTTTTATTTCTTTTCAGCCACTTGTTCCTTCTTCGTTGCCATTTTTATTCTTTGTTGCCACTCTTTTTTTCTTTGTTGCCACTTTTTCTTTTCTAGCCAATTGGTCCTTCTCTGTTTCCTTTTTTTCTTTTCAGCCACTTGTCCCTTCTTTGTTGTCATTTATCTTCTTTGTTGACACTATTTTCTTCTTTGTTGCCACTTTTTCATTTTCAGTTATTTGTTTCTGATTTGTTGACTTGTTCCTGCTTTATTGCCACTTTTTTCCTTTTCAACCATTTTCATTCTTCTTTGTTGCCACTTTTTTTCTTTAAAGCCACTTTTCTGCTTTGTTGCCACTCTTTTTCTTCTTCGTTGCCACTTTTTTCTTTACAGCCACGTTTTTTTCTTTTCACTTTCTTCAGGCACTATTTTCTTCTTTGTTGTTACCTTTTTTCCAATCTGTCGCTTTTTTCTTCTTGCCTAACATTTTACCACTATCGACCAAACATTTTGTCTTTTCTTGATATCTAGAAAAAGAGTTGTTTAGAATGTACGACAGTGTATATCAACAAAAATATGAGGCACTGAAAAACATGGACGATACATCGGTGGCAGAGCTTCGTCAACTTGACGATCGCCGGATGATCACATTGAACCGTGATAAAATTCTTCGAGTATATGATTTGGACACTGGTAAATGTAGATTAATAATTGTCACAATATTAATGCTGATAATGATTATGTTTTTGATGATTATGATTATATATTTTAATGATAGTGATGGTAATAATATGACTGAATTGAAGATGATGATAATGTTGTTGATGATGATAAAGTAAATAATAGGAATGACAAAGTAGATAATAGGAATGACAATGATTGTAATAATAATAATGATGATGATTATAATAAAAATAGAAATGATGATAATGACGATGATGAAAACAATTGCGATAATGATAATTAAGAAAATGCTGATGGTGATAATTATGATGATAATAATAATTATTAATATAATTTTTGTGATGACGGTTATAACAATAATGATAATATTTATGACGATAATGATCACGATAATTATTATGCTGATGATGTAGTAATATTGATATTAAAGATTGTGTTTTTTTTCCTTCTCAATTGTGTTAAGCATCATTAATTGCCGATATTAACCGGTAGAACATGACGTAATGTTTTGTTTTATTTATTTTTTCAGGAAAATTGCTGCATAGATTGGAGGGAGGACATTCTACGTCACTCAAGCTGCACGAAAAATCTCCATACATTCTCACATGTGAGGAAGACTGCATTCGACTGTGGGATAAGACAACCTATAAACAAGTTGCGACATTCTCGCTTGATAAGACAGTAAGCATTGTTAAGTAATTGATTTGCAATATTCTCATTTGATAAAACGGCAAGTTAGTTCAGTAACTTGTAAGTTGCTTCTGAAATCGCAATATGCCTTTCAATGTTGATAATAAAATTCAAAATATTAGTACAGTAGAATCCCTACTTAAGACCACCAAGGAAATAAGATCATCCCGCTGTGAAGGCCATTTCCTTAAAAAAACGGAATTTTTTGTTCTTAATATCAGTGGTTACATGATCCAGAATTAAGACCACATCGCTTATCCACTTTTAAGACCACCAGATTGAGACCACAAATTTAAAGTCAATAAATACCTATATTTTATGTTGTTTTTATCCGCTTAAATTCTCTTAGGCATGATACTTGATTTCACAAGGTGTCAAAAACACCTTATATCATTAGGATATTGTATGAAATAGGTTGAGAAAGGTTGAGTGTTTGAATGTTGCTTTAAGCACATAGATTTTGCAAAAATTAATTTCTTATTTGGTGGGTGAATTATGTACATCATGTTATAATAATCAGTATTGAAATCAGACCAAATAGAATTTGATATCAAATTTCTTTCTTCCCATCAGATGTTAAATTATAACAAACTTTTACATTTGTAGGTTAAAATACATATTGTTTGTTCAAACAAAATGACTAAAATAGACCATGGTCAAAAAGTGTGTAAGCAGTGATAAGAATAAGACCACCCCGCAATTTAGACCACTTTGGTCCAGTCCCGATGGTGGTCTTAATTGAGGGTTTTTACTAAGATTTAATACTTGGTTGCTGCTCGCCATTATGCGATATTTGCCCGAAGATGTGCATAATGGCCTGAGAGCCGCAGGTCCGAAGGACATTATTAACTGAACTCGAGTAGTATCGTCTTTAATACCTATGTCCGAAATACAGCGTTCAGACATTGTCGCTAATCGCCCTTTATAAGAAACGGACAGATGCCAATGTAAACACATATCTGTCACACATTTAACACTCCGATTAACTTAGAAAACAAAACAACACAAAATAAATATAAGAAAATGTTGTTTTATTGTTGTTTTTATCGATAAATACAGAAGCCTACTCTTAACATTTTTGTGATCTCTAGTGCCAGTTTCTTATGAAGTTTTGTGCCTTCAAGAACGGTGTCTGAGACTGTCTAGATCTAAATGCGAATGATCTGGCATTTTCCTACCGTCAATCTAAAATCATTTTTGGAATTTCTGAGGGTGATGTATTGTCTTGAGTTTATAAATCTTCAATGTTAAGATTTAATGATTGTGATTGATTATGTCATTTAAACTTTAAAACAAAATGTGTTCAAGTGACTACAGTTCATTCAACGTCAGCACCCATCTTGAAAGTCATTACGTCATTCTGCACGTGTGCTCATTCACACGACCATTATGGAAAAATTATGCCGAGAAGCAAGGCGGCCAAAATTGCTAATGACATAGATCTTGCCATAATTTCCCTGAAATACCCTATATTTTGTTACTATATATAGTTACATATGTTTTAATGTAGTTCTTTTGAAATTCAATGATCCATTCGAGATTCTGCGGCCAAGTTGTTAGTGTCGCTGACTTTAAACCAATTGACCCATATCGCTGTGGGTTTGAATTTCGTTCAGTAATTTTAGATTCTTTCATGTGGGGTAGCGTAAGTTCTACTCAGGCACCCGTTTGTACTTGAAAACATGCACTTAGGGGCAAGCGAGGTATTTGATCTACCACTAAAGCTTGAATTAAGAAGTCACCATATGGGCTTTGCAAAGTGTTGATGTGGTTTAAAATCACACCCCCTTCACCACCACCACCACCACCAACAACAACAACAAAATGAACATCATTAGTTTAATAATATCAAGTCATGATTATTTCGTAATGAATGGCCATTACTTTTATCACAGATAGAAAATTTGCTTTGGAGTGGATGCGGGCGATTTTTCTACACGACGTCGAGTAACCCTGCCAAGGTATTAAGATGGAAAATACATTATGGACATAAAGAGGTGTCAGATATCAGTTTTGATGAAGATTCACAATCTATATTCTCGTCGAAAGGTAAGGAGAATACCGTTGTATTCACCAGTATTCCAAGAATTATATCAATGTACTTTTTACGGTTGTTTTTTACAATTTTGATACAACTACAGAATCCTAGGGGGTCTATCTTTATTTTTCATCAAAATTTCAAGTCTACAACTACAGTCTGCAAATTTGATATAGAAAATAATGAAATGTTTTAACTAGAACAGATAATGTTCTGAAATTTCGCGGGTTATTTTACAGAAACAAATATCATATAATTTAAACAAATTTATGGAAGAAATTGCGTTCCTCATGTTGTTTTTTAACTTATCTGCCCCTGAAAGCGAGATTTTCTCTTTTATATCATTTTCAAGGGCTGGTAACTCAAAATCAAGTATGCCGATATCTTATTTAATTTCAAATAATTATTTTTTTATTATGCAAAGTTTAAAATAATAGTATCCAAACGACACTTACTATGATTCAATAAATTGCTATAGTTTTCTTCAGAAAAGAGCATAACGTATAAGCAACTTTATAAAAATAAATTTTGATTTGCGACATGGAATAAAGTTACAAATAACATTTGCAGTACTGTAGAAAACGTTTTTAAGAATGAATATTTTTTCTCAATGTCTAAACAGAGCTACCTCTGCCAATACCCGATGTCTTGCATATTTATGCGGACACATTAACTGACACTTGAGGTTATGGAGCTTCAAACGTCTTGAAATCCAAATAGATTGTATAAAATTAATCTAAATGTATTTGTTAATCCCAGCACATAATCTTATATCAATAAAACCTAAAATTCGCTCCATTGACAAATATTGTTTCAACATGTATAGATATGCCATCATTTGCCACGAGTACATACTTTTACATAATGTTCATGAATGAATAAGGTATTGGATGTATAATTAACACCTTTTCGAAAGACATTTAAAACTTTATATTAAAAAACTACAATATTCTGGACATATACACGAGTATACTACATGTTTTCATGCATATATGTTTTATCAATTGATCATCATAATTATACGAAAATATCGGAAAAATTGCTTTAGATCTTCAGTATCAAACTGTTTTTGAAACATACCTTTTTATATATATATATATATATATATATATATATATATATATATATATATATATATATATATATATATATATATATATATATATATATATATATATATATATATATATATATATATATATATATATATATATATATATATATATATATATATATACCTTTAAATATATATGTATATATAAGTCTAAAACAAGCGTTGCAAGTCATACAAAGTGTATAGAACAATCTATAGAATGGTATTGTCAAACATTTTTGAAGGATTACAGTTGAAATAGTAAGTAATGTTGTTGTTCTTCAGCTGAATTTGAGCCATTAGAGATAGAAATACCGGAGGATGTCAAATTCCCTACTGAAGAGGGAGACCCCGATGACGATGTTGAAGTACCGAGCGATGACGAAGACGATGACGATGGTGACGATTAAATACAACAGTTCATATTTTCACATTTCCACATCAACACAGACTTGGGCACTTGATGATTAATTATTGCAAAGACAAAATTATATTTTGATATTTATACAAATTTTCAGGTGACCATAAATATCGTGAGAGTGATTGAATGCATGGAAGAAATTCATAGTTTTATATGGCTTACAGGAATATGGTCATATCGTCATATTTGTGACATCATGTGTCATCATTCAACAAGAAAAACACATGAACCTTATCTGTGATAAAATTTTATATACTCATTGACTCCACAAAACTAATGATTTAAAAATGATAAAAAAAACCTTTTTGGAAGAAAAAAAGTTAAAACTGATATATTTTCATGAAATATTCATTGATAAACCTTTATTAAAACATTAAAAATTCTATTATCGCAAAAAAATCTTTTTAGTATACCAATCATTTACTAGACATATTATACAATTACTAACATACAGAATTTACTACTTTACTTTTTCTTATACATTATTGATTTATGACGTGTACTCAAATCATGTAACATATATGTAGCATATGCAATACTTTATTACAGGGTACACGTTTGTTTCATTTTACTTTATTAACTTTTTATCATTTTTCATTTTCAAATGTCAAAATATTTACTAAAATCTGTGATACTTTACATAAAACACTGCATATTTATTCATTTTATAAATTTACATTCGAGCTATATTTTTTGAACATGGGAAGACTGTCTTTCCAGTTAGAACTAATAACTAATACATTTATGTATTTAGAAATAAAATGTGGCTGTTAACTGTAGAATAAAATTATAATGTTAAATTGATTTCATTTTGTTTCTATATTATTTTTTATAATATTTTCATTAAATATATATTGTTTATTATATTGTCCCTGCCTTAAATAATACACAAAGGTATGTTCATGGAAAATCGCCATAATGATCGATATCTTTAGTGTATATGTGATTTGAACCCTAAAATCGTCAACTTAGTGCAGTAAAGGGCTAACTTCTTTTGAATTTAATAGGAGTAAACCCGTTACTGCACTAAGGTGACACATTTAAATATAAATAGTGCGCCTTGGTCAAGAAATTTGACATTATTTCTGATTAATTTCATATCACACCAATGCATACATATAACGTTCGTTAAAAAAATCTTATAAGTATTTTTCAATGCTTTGAACATTTCACATTAGTCTTGTTTTACAGTTTTGCCTTGTCTTTCTTCTCGCCACCACCAGGCAACTTGTTTCCGGTACCCATGAAAAATACCGGTTTATAGTCAGGGTCTTTCAGAGCCTCCCTGTCTAATGTGAAAGGTGAAATATCATATTGAGTCTTTCCGTCTAACGCCATTTCACTGAGGATCTTGCCCAGTTGACCAGCAAACCTGTGTCAGATATACATACAATCATGACAGCAAACCTACATAAGGATGTTGTTGGTAAGTATGAGATACATGGTCCGATATAAAATGGCTATATTCAGTAGACACTTAAGTATTCTTTGACAAAATATTATTGAATAAATTATTCATGATACAAATTTTCATAACAGATCACTTGAATCTTTATCAAGACATTTTTTTTCCAAGAAATATTTAATAAGAATACAGGAAAGATAAATATTTATTGTTTTTATCAAATATTGGAAAAAATATGACCATTATAGACCAATCCACTTTATTAGTAACAACTTGATTCATAAACTTTGTTTAATATTTTACGACATACTTACCACGATCACCATCGCTTATCGTAATGGTTCTGAAATCTGGGTCGTCAGCTACGCTTTTACGTATACATTACGTATGATGTCGTCAAATGTTTTAAAAATCTATTTTTCATGACATGCTGCCCTTTTAAATGTATCAGGCAAAGCTAAGTTGATATTGTATTACAACTTTGTTATTTTGTACAATTATTAAGTACAATACTGCAACACTTCGGCTGATCCTAACTACTTACTTGTAAGCATGTCCGGCACCGTTGCATACGATGACGTCATCAAAACCAGTTCTATGACATGTGTCGATGATGAAGTTCCGGTCAGGAGGCATCGTATACAAACATGTTTTACTGTACAGAATAGGTCCCACAGACTGAAAAAATATATCGATATTATTTCATTATTTGAATCTACCCACCTGTGCCAGCACTGTTTGCTATTCAGTCAGTACTAATACTGATTTAAGTATTAAAACTAAATTTTGTTAATTATAATGAACGGTTATGATAGACAATTCCATGTAAGATATTTAGCGTGATTAGGATTAACAAGTCAACGCATAATGATAGAGATATAGATAAAGTAGCGTATTGGCGAATGTCGATTGGTTTCAAATAATTTTGTCATTCACTTTAGTTGGCTTGAATCTCGCCAGCTACTTCAGAATCTTTCACATTAGTTAGCTTTCAGACGGTCCATGGAGCAACTAACTTATCGGCTCGTGCCCGAAGCTATGCACGCAGGATCACCTGAAGTCTTCTTTTACTGTCGAATTCTTTAATCGTTCTATAATCCAGCTTAAAATGCGCGCTAGTATGAAATCGTGACCATATTTAACAAGTGTTTTTAATCATAAAATGTACATGACATACATTGTATACTTATTCCAAAACATCCATTTAAAGGACTCCACTGAGGTTATTTGATATGACGGGGCTGGAAAATCTTTTCCGATATTGATGTAGTTTTGGACCAATTATTTGTGTTCAAGCAATCTTTCAGAACATTCTCTCACCGCGTTTTTCCAGAAGAGTCTTTTTGGGTTTTTTTCGTTGTTTTTTTTTTAAATGAGCGGTTTTTACTGAAACTGAGCTAGGAATCGCACACAAAAAAATCGATATTCATTTTTAGTCCAAGTAAATTTCACCATCAACCTTTACATTTTTAAAACCATTTTAAGTGTTCCACTTGATATACATAAGGAAATAAATTTATATATTTTTAGGGTTTTTGTCCTCAGGGGAGTTCCTTTAATACTTAGTTTTTTTAACTTTTGACGTTTAATATGATATATAACAAAATAACTAAAAATTATATACAACTTACCGTGGGTAAAACTTCCTTCAGAAAGTCAATGCAGTTATTTTCCCGGACTGGGTCAGGTGTAAACAAGGGGCAGGACGTGAAGTGGTTGCACACTTGGTTCAAGCGAGCGAATTGGTTGCAAACTTGACAAAATGGCAAACACGGCGTGATTTTTTGAAACGAGTGAACGAATTTTTGCCAGGCAAGTGGGTTTCTTTGTTATTTTGAAGTAGTAAAACTTTGCAAAAGGAGTGTAGGAGACATATTTTCAATGGCAATTATTGACATTTATGTTCTGTTACTTGTTTTTGTTATAAATGTTATTTATACTGTCTTCTTTTACAACAAATGCACTTTATGTTTCAAAGTACATGGTTCTCAGTTCAATACTATAATCATCAGTTAAATCCTGCAAACAAAATGATAGCATATAGAAAAATATTTATTGATACTTCAATTCTAAAATATGTCATCATATGTAAAATGCAAATGAAAACTACATACAAAAAAAAACGTATGTGAGAGTACTGTTGTATGTAAGTGAATTATTTTCATCATAAACATAAGGGCATGTGCACACGATGTTACTCAGCAAAATTTCCAAAGTTTATCAAAACCACAAGAAATGTTAATTTGTTTGTTTCGTATTTTTATTTATTTCATTTATTCCCGTCTCATCTATATACAATATAATATAAAATACATGTATATAGCCATTCTATAAGAATTATAAGAGACTAAACATCTAAAACACTATAGCATACATAGTTAAACCAATATTAAGATTAAACATTACCAGTGTTAGACAGCTTAAAATATTAAAATCATGTTTGTATAAATGATAGCCAAATGGTAACTTAGTACTTTTGAGAGTGACACTAAATAACATGCTGGTTAACATTAAAAAGTCAAACACTGGAAATATTTCATCTGTACATTTTAAATTGTATGTCATATAATAAAATTGTTGCAATTACTAAAAATTATTACTTACAGTTTTAAATTTCTACTATATAAAGTATTATTTCTAATTTTTAATATATCACGGCAGGATTTTGCAAGGATTCTTACCATGTCTGGGTGAGAGAACGTGAATACAAATTTATCATTATCAGTCATATCATAAAAACTATTTTAAAATAACATTGGACGTTAGAATAAATCCTTAGATTTAAATGATTAGAAAACTCGGTAAAACTATGCAATATTCACAGTATTCAAACACATATTCACCTTTGAATGCGAACACAAGTAAGTTAAATTAAAAAACTGATACAATTTCTGTGATAGGGTCACTTACCGTGATAGTCCTATTTTCATTTCTAGCTAGGTTTAATACGGGACAGTTTTCAACAACAGACGCCCCGTTACCTCTCGCAAGCTGAATATTTAGGCGTTAGTCATGGCTGCGTCAACAAGACCGCCATCTTTCTGGTACACTGCCACATATAAATTGTCTGTTGTAAACTGCGGGTATCTTGCTCGCAACTGACTACCACTTAACCACTCGTACCTAAAATCAGACAAACTCCTCAAAGTCTGAGAGTCTTCCAAATAACACCGAATAGAAACACGCCCATTAAAAACAACGACAACATAAGCCTTATCATTATTAACAACAACAACAATCTAGTCAATATGACATATTAAAAAAACTGTTGAATAGAATCCACTGGAGTTTTTTGATATGATGTGATTGGAAATGAATTTTCAAGATTCATGTTAAATTTGATGCAAGTCTAGTCAAAATTTCAGATAATTCGTTCACTTCGTTTTATTAGAATAAAGATTCTAAATGTGAATCTCCCTGTTATTACATTGAAAACCGTTGCAACGCTTTCAAAAAACAAAACGGGCTATGAATAGCACAAAAAATACGATTTTCAATTTTCTGAGTAAATTTCTTATTCATTCTTATCTCTCTGTTTCAAGAACTCCAGCTGATCTTTGTAAAGAATCAAATTTTATGCGTGTTGACATTTGAACCTCAGTGAAATTTCTTTTATTGAAATTAAGAAACTTAAAGCATAAACTTAAGACGACAACACGCATTAACTGTTCTTTTTAGATCTGCAATACAAAAACTAACGGGATGTTGTGCGTTGCCATGGCATCTGCATACTTTTTGGCCAAATGATCAGTTTCACCTTTCTTTGCCAGCAACAGTCCTCCAGTCTTGTACACAAGCTGTATTCCCGATTCTTCCTCTGCCACGGCGAAACTACATTACAATTTTATACATTACAATTTTATACATTACAATTTCATACATTACAATTTTATACATTACAATTTTATACATTACAATTTTATACATTACAATATTATGCATTACAATTTTTTATATATTAAAATTTTACACTCGTTAATTCATATGCCATTATATAAAAGGCAAGAAAACTTTAACCATTGATATTTACGTAGAGATAAATTCAAGAAATAATAAAGATGCATCAAACAATAAACATGATTAATTAACGCTTGTTTTTATTTTCAAGGTGATACATCGCATTTCCAGTAATAGCCATGGAAGTATGAAAGTAGATCTTAGACGATGTCATTCTTATAAAATAATTACTGTTTTAGTTCTGATGACAGGTTTGACAGAAATGGAGGATAGTTCGAAAATATGTATACATTTCAAAAGACCTAAGTAATTTTCCAAATTACCGAGCACTCAATTTAAGTATCGAGCTAGTATTCGAGTTTTGAAATTATTACTCTACTTGAGTACTAAAAACAGAACTCCTCGCCATGCCTAATTAACACCGTATTGAAAATGTATAACG